AATCAGAGGACGTGTCAGGTCAATTAGGCCGTCCCCTTGACGAGCTTTCATCCACACAGTGTGCACGTTCCGCTGACCTTTTCACTGAGGGGACTGAGCATTTGAAGGCTGGGCCCAGGCTTCCTGCTAGCTCAGCGTTGTCCCTCCGTCACCGGGGCGTCCGGAGCCCCCCTTCGTCCCCCTCACTGAAGGCGGGAAGCCCGCACGGTTTTGCAGTTGGTGGCAGAGATGCCTGACAAGTGGATTAAAGCCGAGGGCCGGAGACTCAAGGTTGGGGCCTCCCTGGGGCCCCCTGGCTCGCAAGGCTCTGCAGCAGCTCTGCCCCCAGGACTGCCGTGATCCCTCCACAAGCCACCCCTGCCCCCACCTCCCTCGCAGGCGATTGTGAATCATCCCCTCTGGGGTCCCCATGCCAGTTATAGGGGCCGAATCATCCTTTACGGGGCTTCTCTGAAGCGTAGGAAGCCTGGGCCTCGGGCTTTAGCTGTTTGCTGACCCGCTGCCCTTCCCACCGGGCCCCTTGCATCACCTTCACGTGGAGGAGAAGGACGCGTGGTGAAATGCAAGGGGCCGACAGGCTTTGGAACCAGATGGGTTCAAGCAAGGCTTTGCCCTTGGATGGTCTGCGGCCCCGACCAGGTCACCCCCTGCCCTGGAAGCCGGAGGCGGGGGACGCCCTGCGCTTCCTCACTGATGAGAAGGGCCCAGCAGGCCCCTCCCCATCTGGGTGTAACAGCCTGAATCTTGTTGAGGGAATAACGTCTTCCTTCAAGATCTGAAAACTTGGGTCCTCGTAAACGTGGGCCTCGGGCTTCCAGTCTCCTCCTCCAAAAAAGCATTGAAAACAAACATTTATCTGCAGTTTCCCGTGTGTGTGTGTGGAGAGACACGATCATCTCAGAGGCGGCCTGCAAGGAGTGTGCTCGGTGCTTGTTGCACACATGCCGTCGTATCCATGTTCGTATTTTTCACCTTAATATGACAGCGGGTCTGTAGCAGGCGGGGACCAGGTCTCCTTTCTTTTGGAGACATCTCCTCTCCTGCCCAGTCCCAGTTCTCGCTCACTCTTGGCCACCGGTAGGTACAGAGCAAATAATCGCGCTTGTCCCGTGAGAGGGAGTGGGGCCGAGTTCGAGTGGTGACAAAGGAGGCCAGGTTGGCTCGTGGCCCAGCAGTGCGACTTCTGGGTGATGGGTGGGGGGGACGTGCCCACCCACCGGTAGGCCTGGGGCCCGTTACTAGAAGGGCTTTAAAATGCCGCGGACGTGGCTGGAAGGGGGCGTCGGGGATGCTCGGACGTGAGGGCTTCTGGACGTGCGGCAGTCCGCGGAGGGGCCTCCGGAGATGGACGCGGACACTTCACCGTCTCTCTCCTTCCTCCCTTTCTTCCCTTAAACTGTTTTTGTCCTACGTGGTCACGGCAGCTGATACCTAACGTGGAACTCGGGGGCTCAGGACCGGGTGGAGCCGAGGACAGGCCTCAGCCGCACCCGCGGAGGTGCCTTCCCTCTATCTGTGGGGCCAGGCAGGGCGTGGCCGGGCCCAGGGGAGCAGCGGGGCGAGGCCCTGGCCTCCGCCGCCTCCCGGAGGCCCCGGGGCTCGGTCGGTGAGCTTGGGCTCCGACTTCAGGTCCGAGGCTTGGCCAGGAGGCTGTGCTGTGGGGCCGGGGCAGCTGGGTGCCGTGCGCTGCACCTTTGCACCCGGGCTCGGGGCGCTCGGCCCGTCCTGTTTGGGCAGCTCCCGCTGAAGGGGGAGACGGGCCTGCCTGCCCCAGCTCCTCGCACAACGTGGGCCCCCGTGCTCCCCTTCCAGACCTTCCGCTCCTCGGGAGCCGCCAGGAATGACCCGTAGGAGCGCGAGTTCCCACTCCCGTGGTTTGTGGCCTGGTCTGCGGGGGACACGGAGAACGGCGGGGTGTGCCCGCGTGGGTGCCCTTCCCGGCTGCTCTCCCAGGAGGGCAACAGTGGGACACGCGAGGCGGAGCCTCAGGGCGCCGCTGGGTGAAGAGTCGAGGGTCCCAGGCAGCAGAGGGGCTGCTGGAGGGGGAGGTAAGAGCCCGGCCAGGGGCTGCAGCGACGGCCTGTGGCACCTGTTGTGGCCCCCGCTTTGTCCCCCTTCGCCCCTTTCTCCCCGTAACCAGTGCGACCCCGTGACCTTGGATCTGCCCGTCGAGCGGCAGTGGGTCGCGGCACTTCTGCTTCTCAGCAGCCGAGAAGAGCGGCTTGTCGCTGAGCAGGAGGCCCGTGTACCAGGGGGCCTGCCACGGGCCCTCCGTTAACGCCCGCGGCTCCCTGTGAGGCCGCTGGTCCACAGCACCTACCACGAGCCCCCCAGGGACCCCCGGGACCCCAGGGCCCTGCAGTGCGGCCTCAGGAACCGTCAGCGGAGTTCCAGCTCGACTGACATCGGGACAGCAGGGCTACCGAGTCTGGAGGCAGCTGGGGCACAGGTGCAGGCCCCCCCCCAGCCCGCCCACCCGCCCTGGGTTGTAACCTGGTGCCGTCAGATAGCGGGTGCAGGGAAGTGGGGAGTAGAGGCGCTGCGGGAGCTAAGGGACCAGGTGTGGGGGGGGAGGACCTGCTGACCCGAAGGAGAAGGAAATGAGGACAGTTCTCCGAGCAGAGGTGAGCTTGGACAAGGCGGGGAGGCAGCCACCGGGTGCTGTCGGGCCCTGGGAGTAGCCCAGGGCACCCATGGGAGGCGGCCGGGGTTGGGCAGGCCCTGGGAGACCTACGAGGTGAGGACCTGGGTCCCGCTCTGCTGGGTGGCAGCTGCAAGGGAAGGACAGAAGCAAGGTCCCCCAGTCGTCCGGTTGGCGATGGGGGGCCGTGGGTCTCCAGCATGCAGCATGTGTTGGTTCAAAAAGGCAAATTCAGAATTAAACCTTTATGTTTGGTGGCTGTAAAAAGGATCCGTGTTACAATCTAAATTTGGCTGAATTTCGGCCAGAAGAGCAAGCATCAGCGGGAAGGAAGCACAGGAACGCTGCCCCAGGCGGTGGGAGCCCCGGGTGGGCGCATGGCAGGGTGGTGACGGCATGGTGGCCCTTCCGGATGGTGACGCGGTCGTGGTGGGGTGCCGAGGCCACAAGACCTGGGGCCCTGGCGACGGGCGAGGTGCGCCGCATGGGCGCGGGAGGAGGGGCCGGCCACAGAGGGGGCCCCGGCGCTGGGTCAGGGCTGGCCGCCCGCACAGGCCCCCCTGCAGTGGCCGGGCGGCACCTGAGTGAGCAAGGGCCCTGAGCGTCGCAGCGCAGTGGGCCACCACCTAGGGCAGCGACCCCGTGCCCGCGCCGCCCTGCAGCCCTGCCCGATGGGACATGGGAGCGGGGGCCCTGCAGGTCCTGCCCCGGGAGGTGCCGGGCACCCTGGGCAGGGTGCTGCTTTCTCATGACCTGGGGTGCCTTGCCTCTCGGCTCTGCCGCAGGTGCATGAACAGCTGGGCGCTAAGCCTGCAGAGCGCGGGGACCTGGGGACGTGGAGCGTGATGTGGCCGCTGTGGTCTTGGGGCCCCCGCCCCGCCTGGCCGAGCAAGCAGACCCCGATGGTTGGGGCTCCATGGGGGGGGCTACGTTTGCCTGATACCCCTCAGGCCTATTTTCATTTTAATCAGGGGATAACGCTACAACCCGAGGAATGAACCTCTAATAGCAGAATTTTAATAGCAGCCGAGGTCGGGATAGGAGTTAGGGTCCAGTGCATACTGACCTGGGGGACAGGTGCCCATCTCCGTATGCAGGTGGTGCGGGTCGCTCCTGGGGGCAAAAAAAAGTTCTTTCAGTGGACACAAGAAATAGCTCAGACTCTGAGAATCCAGGTCTTGGCAGGTTATGGCCACAGACCTCGCACCCCTGTGGCAGGGGCCGCTGCGGAAGGGCAGGAGCTCGTGCCTTGGCTCATGAGGCTGCAGGGGCAGTTGGGGGATGCGTGTGGCCGCCCTGCAACGGACCAGCATCCAGAGGGCCTGCGCTGGAGCGAGCCAGCCTGGACACGGGGGTGGGCATGGGACAGAAGCAGCCTCGGGTGGCCGTGACCCTGTTCTAGCTGAAACTAAGGCCCGTGGGAGGGGGACCCCCGCCGGCAGCGGGCCCAGCCGAGCGCGGAGAAGAGTCACAGAAGCAACGGCCAGGACCCTCGGAGAGCCGCGAGCCCAGGACCGGGTCCAGGGGAGCCCAGCGTGCGCCGGCCGGCCGGGCGGACAGCGGGCCCCCGCGGGTGCGCAGAGCCTAGCCCCTCGCACACGCCACGCCTACCGAGACCGGCTCTCCCGGCGCCTGGCCGGTCGGCGAGTCTGCCCAGAGTGGGGGACGCAGCTGCAGTGGCCGGTGAGGAAGGACGGCCGGGGAGTGCCCCGGGGCCGTGTGGGGGCAGGAGCTGGGGGCCACCAGCTGGGGACACAGGCCTCCTCGCTGAGCCCGCGCGCCCGGCTGAAAGCGCAGAACCATCATCGCTCGTGTTCCGTGTGTCTGAATGTTCTGATGACGAACGTCGTGAAGGGCCGGCCGCGCAGGGTGTGTCCAGCGGTGGCTCATCTCTGTGAACCCCCCGCCCGTGGCCCGTGCCCGTGAAGCCCCCGCGCTGTCCTGCGGCGTGCTCTGCGCCAGGCCGCTCCCGCTTCCTCGGCTGCAGCCGAAATTCTCTCCCACCAGCGGCTGTGCGCTGAGGCTCCTCGTGAAGGGCCGGGGCGCGGAATGGGGTGCCCTATGCCTCCCAGCCTGGCAGCCGTGGGCCTCCGCGCCATGCGGGATTGTGCATTGTGCTCCCTCGGCCGCGTGGAGAGAGGCCAAGGCTCAGGGGAGGGCTCTCCCAGTTCCCCTCTTTGGAAAGAACGTCGGCCCCACCTGGGAAGATAATGAAGCCGCCCGTACCGCTCCGTAGACGGGACAGGCTTTGACATCAAATTCCACTTCACGCTCATCTTTAAGAATCTCTCAGCAGCTGATGGGTGAGGAGTGCTGGTGGGGCGGGCAAGACCCTGATACGTGCGCTTGTGTTTTTCAGCCTCCACCCGGATGTTTGAGGTCCTGTAGATGCGGTCGGCGCCCCGAGAGTGAAGCGGGTGCACAGGCCGAGCCCTGAGAAGCCGCAGCCTGGGACAGCGCCGGTCCAGCCTCCCGGTAATTGGTTGGCAGTTTTGGTGGTGATGGGGCGTGAGGCACACTTCTCGGTTGGGTCCGTCTCACCAGGACGAGCCTCCAGGCGCCGGCGGGATTGGGGGACTTGTTGCTGTGAGTCTGAAGGACCTTAGAAGGCACTAGTGCACCCCCCCCCCCGGCAGGGGCCCAAGTCCTCGCACAGCCCCCTTAGTCACCTTCCTCCAAGGAGACGGTGCACCGCCTGCAAGGTGCCCACCTGCAAGGTGCCCGCCTTCTGTCCCGAGCAGTTGCCGCGGGTGCACCTGTGCGTGGCCCCCTCAGCTAAAATCCCCGCCTCCCGCAGCCCTGTAGGCCCTAGGGAACCAGTTAGGGAACCAGGCTTAGGGCACTGTGGGAGCCCAACAGACGTCCGGGGACAAGCAGCATCTGGGGCCGGTCAGTCCTGGTGGAGATCCTGACCCCACGTTACCCGCTCGTTACTCCGCTTGTGTCTGGCAAGTTAGCGTCTCTCCCTGAGACCCAGTGTGCCTGTGCCTGTGGACAGTGATGGGGATGCCCCCCCGCGGAGCGTCCCGGGAGTGACAGTAATCACAGAGACGGTTGCTCGGCGCCCTTGTGTCTCCCGTCCTCGCAAACCGGGTGTCCTGCAGCTCAGCTCGATTCTGACACCCCGCCGCGCGGAGGGCGCACAGTTAACTACGCTGGTTATGGGCGCACAGTTAACTGTCACTGGTTAGCTGCGGGCACAGTTAACTACGCTAGTTGTAGGCAAAGTCACCAGTGGGAACTGCCCCTGCCTCAGGAGCCACGAGCAGGATCCCCAGGCCACCGCACTTCTCGCTCACTTGGCTGTAAAGGTTAGGGTTTCCATGCCGCCCTTCCGTCTCTAATTCACTACAACTCCAGAACGCAGGGGAGGGGCTGCAGTTGTGATTCCAGTTGTACGATGGAGGGGCCAAGTCAGGAACAGCCGATGGAGACAACGCATAGGGCCGGGCGTGGGGGGGGGGGTTGGTGCAGAGCTTGTGCGTCCCCTCCTTCCAGAATCTGGGTGTATCACTATCCCAGCTACCACAGGAAGCTCCTTCCAGCCTTGATGTCCAGAGATTTTTAATGGGGAGCTTTAGTACTAGTAGGCACAGTTGTTTAAATCATCTGCCACTTGATTTAAAAAAAAAATTAATCGTGAGAAACAGAGAAGCAGAGAGACAGGCAGAGGGAGGAGCAGGCTCCCTGCGGGGAGCCCGATGTGGGACTCGATCCCGGGTCTCCAGGATCACGTCCCGGGCTGAAGGCGGATGCTCCAGCCCTGAGCCCCCCAGGGGCCCCCATCTGCCATCTGACTGAACTCAACCTCCAACCCCTCCCCCTCTGTCCTCCATGGCTGGGGACGCGGCTAACGTTCCAACCTTCTAACCCTGGGCTTGGCCTTTCTTGGTAGCCAGTCTCTCCCTTGAACCATCGAAGGGCCCCCCGTAAGTCGCCTCATGGGCGTAAATTCAGGTTCGATGCAATGGGCTCATCATGAATAACCAGAGACCCTCCTGATGTCCTTAGGTATTTTAGAAATCCCAAGGCTGGGATCCCTGGGTGGCGCAGCGGTTTGGCGCCTGCCTTTGGCCCAGGGCGCGATCCTGGAGACCCGGGATCGAATCCCATATCGGGCTCCCGGTGCATGGGGCCTGCTTCTCCCTCTGCCTGTGTCTCTGCCTCTCTCTCTCTCTCTCTCTCTCTGTGTGACTATCATAAAAAAAAAATTAAAAAAAAAGAAAGAAATCCCAAGGCTTTTGGAAGTTCTGCTAGGAGCTGGGGACGAAGGCCAGATACATTCTTTATGGTCACACCTGGCCCACCGAGCACTGGCCTCTGATGGTCACCACCCTGCTTGTCCTCTTTTTTTGTGATCTCCGGGTTGACGTGTTCCCAGTATCTAATCAGAGAACTAGTCATTCCCGTCGGTCTTTTTCTAGATGTTCTTTTTGTTAATATAGCTCAAGATTGAATTAGGTTTTGGGGCCACAACGTATAATTACAGTTACTCAGTATGCACCTGTTTACAGTTGAATCACGAGCCTCTTATTGCTCGAGTTCCTAATGCTTTGATGATTTTAGCCCCTAAATGACACATAATAAGGGCAAATGCTTAATAGCCCTGTTTTGACTACTTCACATACATTAACTCATCTAAATCCTCAGAAGAGCCTAACGAGGTAGCTAAACAGTTCAACCCCCATTTTACACAAGGGGGAACCGAGCCACGGAGAGGTTAGGTGACTTGCGCAGCGGAATCACATAGCTGCCACGAGGCGTGGTTAAGATTGGAACTCGTCCTCTTCTTGGTCCGGAGTCCATGCCTTCAACCACAAAGCCGCACGGCACAGAACTTTGGTCACCTGTGCAACATTTTGGAAGGAAAGGGGGGAGAAGCCCAAAAGGATGCCTCTGGCCCGTAAAGTCGAAGGCTGGTTTTCTGTGGCCGCCGTTGTCATGCTGAGGGGGTCAGGGCTTCCATCTCCTGCCCCCTACCCATTGGAGCCTCTCTGGAGTGACCTGCTTGGGATGGACTCTAAGAAGCGAAGGCAGGCCTGGGGGCCTGGGGGCATGGGCTCCTGTCCAGCAGGACCTGAACTTCCTCGTAGGATCCTTGTGCTTCAGGGAGGGGAATGCTACTTCAGCCTCCACGGACCCACTCCTGAGAATGCAGCCATCCCAGGGGGAAGGAAAGAGGGCCGGCCTTCTCCACCTGAATAGAAAGGATTTAGGCCAGGAAGGCTCAGTACCGGGCTGTGCTGGCCAAAATGATCCGAGCCCAAGAGACTCAGAGGGTTCAGGTGGCTCTGGAGCTGGCGGGACCTGGAGTCGTAAGGAACACAGGGAGCTCATCCCCGTGTGTGCATCCATTGTACCTCCTGGGAGAGGATGCCTGCCTGTTTTTAAAAAAACATTGAAGATTGGGGCTACAGAAGTGATATAATTAAAATGTGGGGGGGGCAGTGCCCCTGGGAAAATGTCCGCGGGGCTCTCTGCCCAGGAGATCTGGGTGGAGACTGCAGGTCTGCACAGCTCTGATGCAGTCCTGTCGTTTTTGTCCTTGCAACCCCTTGTTGCCTCTCGTTGCGGGAGCAGGCTGGGGGCATGGTGGAGGTGAAGGGTTCGTGACTCACTCCACACACGTGGGCCTGACTTGAACCTGCAAGGCAAATGTTAGGGGGTCGTGTGTGTCCTTGGCAGCTGCCCGGTCGGCATCTGGCTCAAGGGAGAGGCCCCGGGGGTGGGGAGGCGAGGATGCAGGAAGAAGGTCTCTGGCTCTGGGAAGCCTAGATCCTCCATCCTTTGCATTTCTACGTGAATCTGTCTCTCTCCGTAGAGTGTAGAGCTGGAAGGGGTCCCAGAGTTTATTCTGTTCTTTCCCTCATTTAGGGATGGAAAAATGAGACCCACAGAGGGAAATTACCACTGGCTCAAGGCCGTGCAGCTAGAGAATGAGCGAGTGAGGGTGACAGTGTAGACTCGGACTTCTAGTCCGGAGCTAACTGCCCCGGGAACATCCCTGATGGACTCAGTGACTCTCTCCACTGGGATGAAGAATCTGCCTTGAATGTCACTAAGTACGTCTTCAGCCATTCTAGCGACCTGCCGTATCTGCTTTACACTTTTCTTTAGAGAATTTTTTTTGCTTTTGGGGTTTTTTGGCTGCCACTTCCAGAAGCTGCCTCCCCCACACTCCACCACTCACAGGCAAATATTTCGTCTGCAGGGGCAGTAGGCAGGGCGCTGGGTGGGGGAGAGCGGTGAGGGCATCCTTAAGGAGATGAGTAACCGGCGAACGAACGGAGACGTCATGGCTCGGCAAACTCGCGAAAGCAGGTTGTGGTGGCTTTTGGGGAACACGTGCTGTCCCAGGATAAGTGCGTGGTGGCAGGTGGTCACTGGAGTCGGACGACAGGGCCGGGACAGCCACGAGAAGTGGCACCTGCCAGTGGAATCAGAAGGTGACGTTTGTGCCGTCTCTGGCTGGCTCGCTAAATGGCCAACACCCGGACTGGGTGCCTCCCATCACGTGGCACGGCTGTTAACGTCTGGCCAGGGGTATTTCAACTCTGGCTGCCTCTTGGAATCACCCAGGGGGCTTTTAAAAATCCTGATGTCCAGGTCACACCCCCGCTAGTAACATTAAAATCTGTGATATCAGTATCTTGAACCGTTCCCCAGTGGATTCCAACATGCTCCTCGGTTTAAGAACCACTGCTCCAGGCCAAGGGTTCGGGCCACTAGCTGAGGGATCTGTACGTGCTCCCTCCCTGGACTTTGCTATTTGCTCTTCCCCAAAAGGGGCAAATAGGAAGGAAGGAAAGAAGGAAGGAGGGAGGGAGGGAGGAAAAATGAAAGGAGAGGGAAAGGAAGAAAGGTCATCTGAGTGTTCTGGGCCGATGGGGGGGGCGGACCCCCAGCTCTCCTGTCACCTGGCGCTTCGCCCCTGCTGCCCCACTCAGAGGGGCTGTAAGGTGGAGGGAGGGCGGAGCCCCCCGCCCCGGGGTGTGCTTTCCTGGCTGCCGCAAGGCCTCTTGCGTGATGACCTGCTGCCAGCAATGAAGGTCAAGGTTTGGGCGAACAGGATGGGCCCAGGGCGAAGAGCAGGTCGGGATGGGAGGCGGGAGGCGGCAGCGCCCCAGCAGGACAGGAGAGCACCCCGCCTCCTGTGGAGTGAAGGGGGGAGGGCAGGGTGAGGACGGGAGCCAGGTGTGCCAGCCCCTGACGCCCTCGCTGGCATCTCCACTCGTCTTCAAAAGCTCATCCTCGTTCAGTCAAGAACTGCTTGTCGTCCCCTGAGAGGGGATCACGCAGCAGGAAGGAGGCCAGTGCCCTGGAAGGTCTAGCGGGGCCCACACGACACGACAGGACACAGGAAGGGAGCGGGTGTGGCCCGAGCTGCAGCCGGGAGGTGGTGCTGGACGTGCAGCTTCTCCAACGGGCTCCCGAGAACATTCCTTCCATCGCCAGCAGGCCCTGAAAGAAGCACACTTGCGAGGGAAAACCTAGGGGTCCCGGCCGCGTCCCCAAGGCCGCCCTGGCCCTCACCCGGATCCGGCGATTGTCCCTCTGTGCGTGCTGACCCCCGGGGCACAGCCTCGCACTCCGGGCACGCGTCACGGGCGTGCTCCACTCCGTGTGTGGCCGGGCAGCAGGGCAGGGGTGATGGGGAGTAGGGCAGGGGTGTCCCTGGCAGCTGGGCAGGGGTGGCCCCGGCAGCAGGGCAGGAATGGCCAGGCAGCAGGGCAGGGGATGGCGGGCAGCAGGGCAGGGGATGGCGGGCAGCAGGGCAGGGGTGGCCCCGGCAGGTGCTAGCACCCGCTGGATGCTCTGGGCCCACAGGGGTGCAGCACTGCTGCAGGTGCCGGGCGGACCGGGAGCAGCCTCCGGCCTCCTCCGCAGGCTTCCAGGCTTCGGCTCGCGCGCCAGGACCATGAGTGAGGACAGCGTCCCCGACGCGGCGTCCCCGCCGCCCCCGCAGGGCCCGCAGTACTTCGACCGCTTTCCCGACGATGACCCCGAGTACCTGCGCCTCCGCAGCCGCGCCGCAGACCTGCGGCAGGACTTCAGCCTGATGGAGCAGAAGAAGCGCGTCACCATGATCCTGCAGAGCCCGGTGAGTGGGGCGGCCCGGTGGGGGGAAGCGGCCGGCCCTCTGGCTGACCCTGCAGGGTCGCCGCCTTCCACTGGTCCCGTCTGGCCGTTCTGAGCCCGGGAGCAGGCCGGGCCTGGCCCCGTGGGATTTGGCTCGCTCCCTAGTCGGCTGGACGGCAAAAACCTGGTTTGTGCGCAGGCAGCTTGGCCAGGTGCCGGAGGGGTGGGTCTGACAGGGGCCCTGCCTCAGTTTCCCGCTTTCCCCGAGTTAGCAGTGAGCCGACAGGGATGTTGGGTACCCGGGGCCCACGGGGCGCAGGGGGCAGGCTGGGAGCCTGCGTGTTCCATCACCACGAGGACCTCCTGGCAGGGCAGTAAGGTTGACGCGTGGGGGCAGAGGTCAGAGGGGTCAAAGGGGTCCGGAAGCACCTAGACGCTGAGAGTGGGGGGCAGGGGGCCATGGGCCAGGGAAAGGGGGGCGAGCGGTTGCCCTGCCTGCGATCCGTGGGCACCTGCGCGGCGCTAACACAGAGCTCGTCCTCGAGCAGTGGTGCCCCGGGAGCAAAGCAGGGGCTCAGTGGACCAGGCGGCCGGTGACCCGGGCCGGGTGGGGACAGGAGGGGCGGGGTGGAGCCGGTCCCCAGGCACCGCACAGTCCTCGGCCCGGGGCACTCAGGGTGGAGCAGTCGTCTCTGTCCCCACTGGGCCTCGGGAGACAGGACCGTGGGTGGGCTGGGCGTGACCGTGGTCAGGGCGCCCAGTGAGCGCGAGGCCCAGGCCTTGGTGGCAGGGGACCTGCGAGGAGCGGGACACGCGGTACTGAAGGCGGCGATGCCAGGGCAGGAGGAGAGGGCGCCCAGCTGGTACCGACCGCGTCTCGGCTCTTGGCCGGGTTCTTCCTCGGCCCCGTGTGGCTCCGCCGGGTGGGCAGGAGGCGCAGTCTTAGGGCAGCAGGACGTGGGGTGGCGGGAGCCGCAGGGAGCACAGCGAATCCTTCCGTGTCCCGGGAACCTGGGGTTCCGAGAGCCCGGGCAGAGCTGACGCCGGGGCCGCACGCCGTTCTGTTCAGCTCTGCCGTCTAACACGTGACTGAAGCGAGGCCCTGCGCGTCGGTTGGGTGGGCGGGACCCGGGAAGGACCTGGGGCCTGAATTTCTGGACAGAGGGAGCAGCAGGGGCCTTCCCCGACAGCAGCTGGGGGGGGGGGGCTCCTGAGGACCCCGTGGGTTCCTGGTGCCGTCTGAGGCCCAGGGGCCCTGTGAGCCCTGGTCCAGTTGACCCGGGGCAGGGGCGGCTCCTGATGGGGTCGGGAGCCTCCGCGGGAGAGCCACCGGGAGGACTAGCGCCTCCGCCCGCTTCAGTCTTTCAGGGAGGAGCTGGAAGGCCTCATCCAGGAGCAGATGAAGAAGGGCAACAACTCCTCCAACATCTGGGCCCTGCGGCAGATCGCGGACTTCATGGCCAGCACCTCGCACGCCGTCTTCCCGGCATCTTCCATGAGTACGAGGGGAGCTGGGGAGCTGCCAGGGGCAGGGGTGGAGGAAGCGAGGTAGAGAAGGGCGAGTGGGTGGCCAGGGGCCAGGGCATGGGAAGACCCACAGGGGAGTCACCCCTGATGCCCAGAAGTCGGGGGGCGGGGGGCTCACGGGGAAGTCTCTAGTTCTGTTGGGGGGGAGCAGAACGACTTGGTGCCACTGTTCGGAGAGGCAGGGCAGCCCAAGTGTGACTCCGCGTCCCCCTTCGTCCGTGGGTCGCGTGAAAGGGGGGGCTTTGCAGCTAGAAGTCTCTTACGGGGCCTCTGCTTGAGGATCGGGGTGCAGAGAGGGTCCGGCCGCCGACCCCCGCTGTGCATGCAGAACCGAAGGAGGGTCCTCGGGTGCTAGCGGCAGCCCCCGACTCACGCCCCTTCCTCGGTGCCCGGGAGCCGCTGCCCGGCAGGTGACAGGTGGTGGGGGGGTCGCAACCCCTTGGACAGGTCAGCCAGGCCCGGGCATGACACCCTCTTCTTGGGTCCGAAGCTCTGCCCACAGCCTTGAAGGAACAGACACACTATCCCACAATCGCACAGATACAGGATTGCGACCAGAGATCAGGAAAATAACGAGGAAAAAGGGGAAATTACAATCAGGGTCCTGTGTTCTTACAACCAAGAAATGACTATTTTCAATATTTTGGTGCGTGTCCTTCCCGCCTTTTTCTCTTAACACGCATAGATGAGGAAAACAAGAATGGAATCACAGTATTCACGTAGATTGGGTAGCTTTGACGCATCTCGACTGATTTTCCACACGGTAGAACATCATTTGTAATAAAGGGTTGGTGAAGCTGTGCGGTCCTATAGCGAGACTGAATGTGCCGTAGCTTATTTAACCAGCTTCCCGTTTTTAGGCTTTTAGGTTATTTACAACTTTTTGCTCTTACGAACGATACAGTAAACCATTTATTCTATGATCATTTTTTAAAGACAAATTACTGGAAGTAGAACCGTTGCACTCAAGTATTCGCATGTTTTAAAGATGTGAACGCGTAATGCCAAATTACCCCGGAGAAGCGCGGAACCAGCTCACGCTCCCACCAGCGCCGTGGAGCGCCCTTCCCTCCATCTTCATTGCAGTACGAATTATACTATTCGTTCCATCCTCCTGATTTGATAGGCAAAAAATAATACTTTTTAATGTGCATTTATTTGATCACTAATGAGATTAGATACATTTTCACACTGTGATGATTTTTTTTGTAGTAAATTGCCTTATCGCATTCCTTGCCAGTTTTCCTACTTGCATATTCTTTTCTTACGCGTTTTCAAATCTTTATAAAGTGGAACTAGTTCCCTATTACCTGTCAAATATATTGCAATTTTTTTCCAGTTCCTCCTTTGCCTTTTTTGTTCATGTTTTTAGATTGTAGAACTCTTTAATTTCCATATAGCTGAATCCTTGGTTACTTTTGATTGTGTACTCGGAAACACCTTCCCCAAGTTTTATCATCTCATGGGACAAATAGCCTTATTTATTTTTTAAAAGATTTATTTATTTATTCATGAGAGACACAGAGAGAGGCAGAGACACAGGCAGAGGGAGAAGCAGGTCCCTGCAGGGAGCCCAGTGCAGGACTCGATCCCAGGACCCCGGGGTCACGACCTGAGCTGAAGGCAGATGCTCAACCGCTGAGTCCCCCACTTGTCCCTGCCTTCATTATTCTTAAAAATAACTTAAGAATGATTTTGTTAAGTCCCCTCCCCACCCCCAGTATACCTCAAAAATTCCCTTTTGGGATTTTGATTGGGATTATTTTAAATAAATAGATTAATTTGGTGGAGAATTTATAAATTTATAATTTCATATTAGAATATAAGCTCCATGGGGAAAAGATACTTGTATGTTCTGTTCATTGCTATATCCTAGAATAGTGTCCTGGACTTAGAAAAGTAGCTGGCACAGAGTAGGGGTTGTAAAAATATTTGCATAAATGAATTTTAAGTCTGTTCAGAAATGATGTATGTCTTCTATTTATTTGCCTTTTTTAAGAATGTCCATTTAGAAAAGGTTAGTCGTTATTTTCTTATTTTATTTTATTATTTTCTTTTCTTTTTTATTTTATTATTTTCTATTTTATTTATTTCTATTTTACTCTATTTTCTATTTTATTATTTTATTTTCTTATTTATATTAGAAAAGGTTAGTCGTTTTTCTGTTTTATTATTTTCTTATTTATATTAGAAAAAGGTTAATCGTTTTTCTATTTTATTATTTTATTTTCTTATTTGTATTAGAAAAGGTTAGCCGTTGTTTTCTTATGGTCTCTACTGATTTCTTATTAAGTTTATCCTGGAAATTTTATATAACTTTGTTATTTTAAATGATTTTTTCCTCCATTCAGCTTTCTTTCTGGTTATAGCTGTCTTCCAGGGAAAGTAGGTTCTTGTTGCACTCTTAAGTTCTACTAGCTTCTCTTGGGTATTGTATCTCGAAAAATCACATGACCTGCAAATAATGGTCATTTTCAATCCTTTATTCCAACATTCACCCTTTGGTTTCTTTTTCTGCTTTTCTCACTGCATCCATTACAACTCTCAGAATAACGTTTAATAGTAGATTAGAGAGTAATCATCCTTGTCTGGTTTCTGACTTTAATAGAAATCCTTTATCACAAGAGTTTGAGCTCGTTATCATATTGAGGAAGTATCTTTTCATTCCGGTTCAATAGGAGTTCTTCTCAGAAATGGATGTTGAATTTTATAAAATGCATTTTGGGCATTTATTGATTTTTCTTTCTTTGAACTATTGATATGATGAATTATATTAATAGATTTCTGAATATTGAACTCTTTTTTTCATTCCTGAAATCAATCATTCCTGGTCTTGATGCATTCTTTTGAAAATACTCTTCTAGATTTGGTTTGCTAGCGTTTATTCAGGGTTTTGCATATTCATGAATGAGATTGGTCAGAAATTCACTTTTTTGTGCCGTCTTCATTTAGTATTGGTATTTAGGCTGTAACTTCATAAGATAAGTTAGAGTGATCCCCACCCTTCTCTTTGTCCTGATGGATTTTAAATAAGATAGGAAGTCTCTCTTCCTTGGAGATTTATTATTTACTTGTAAAGCCATCCAGATCTGGAACGTTTTTGATGACATTATTTTTCTCAGTTTCGTCTAGGGTTTTTATTTTTATTTTTTTTAATTAATTAATTAATTAATTAATTAATTAATTATTTATTTATTTATTTATTTATTTATTTATGATAGTCACACAGAGAGAGAGAGAGAGAGGCAGAGACACAGGCAGAGGGAGAAGCAGGCTCCATGCACCGGGAGCCCGACGTGGGATTCGATCCCGGGTCTCCAGGATCGCGTCCTGGGCCAAAGGCAGGCGCCAAACTGCTGCGCCACCCAGGGATCCCTCGTCTAGGGTTTTTAAAAAACTTATTTTGCTGCTGCTTGAGTAAATTTTGACTATATGTTTTAAATAATCCATTTCATGGGGATTTTCAAAATCATTAGAGTGATTTACAATATTCTACCATTTAAACTTTCTGCTGTAAATGAGATGACGTCCTCTCCTCATCCTTGGTGTTGTGTTTTCCTTCGTTCTTTTATGGCCAATCCAGATGTTGGCTTATTCATAGATGTTCTCACTTAAGCCAATTCTTGGATTTCTATATTAGTTCTACTGATTTTCTAGTTTCCCAATTCACTGATTTTGTTTTTTTCTATTCACTAATTCTTTCCCATAACTTTTCTTTGGTTTATTTTTGGTTTTTATAGGGTAGAATAAAATGGATGCTTTATTTTCATTTTTAATTCAATAATAAAGACATTTTAGGCTATGGATTTTTTTCTCTGAGTTTAAGTTTGGCCTTATCCCAGACATCTTGACACAATATTTCCTTTATTGTTAATTTCTAGATAGCTTGCAGTTGCTGTTTTCATTTTATTTTGTTCTAAGAACTCTCTGAGAATGAGTTTTCTCATTTCCCAGTGGTTGAATTTGTATTTTTTTAAGGGCCTGTTGATAACATCTATCTTTATTGCACTGTGTTTGGAAAATGTAGTCTATTTAACGTCTGTGTTGGGGATTTATTGAGATTTTTCTCTGTAGCCTAATAATATCATTTTTAAATGATATGTAAATACAGACTCTATCTCCAGGGCATAATATTTCATCTGTATCTTCGTGTTTTTTTTTTTATTTTGTAAAAAATGAGAGTTGTGTTTCTTCCACTGCATATTTAATTACTGTTCGTTTCTCTTTGCATTTCTAGTAGCTTTTGCTTTGTATCTTGATGAAATTACTTATATATGTAAGTGGTCTTTATAGCTATAGTTTCTTTATGGATCATACGTTTAGTTCCTGTAAAATGACCGGCGCGGCGGCCCTCCCGCCATGGGCTCTGCTGCCTGGCTTTGTCTGGGGGGGGCGTTTGCCTTCGCTCTTCCTCCCTTCTTGCTACCAAGGGTGAATATTCCAGAAGGATATGGCTTTCCCTCATTTCCACTTTGATAATAATATTGTAACCTCTGTTTATTTTTTGGGCCTACTTTTGATGCTTCTTTTCCGTTTACCTGCCTCGTGTCACTTTAGTCTCGTCCATTGGCAGACCTCCGATAGCGTTGCCTCCTGGCATTTATTTCCATATCAGACAAATCTGAAACAGCCTATTATTATTATTTTTTTTGTTCCTTTGTAGGTAACCAACATTCTTTTGGTAGATGTTGGTGCCTTTTCCCCTTTATCCTCGTATTTCAGAAATGTGCCGGGAAGCATATAATTGCAAGCCTTTTCTCTTTGTGGACGCTCCCCTCTGGAATGTAGTAAATCCTTATAATTCACGCAGGTCTGTTTCCAGCTCAGAAGTCGGTCCCGTGGGGCCGGTGCGGGATCTGAATGTGTCTCCCTCCGGCCTGTGTCTCCCACCGCGCTCCCTTTCTTCCTCATCGTTTTCATGTCTCTGCCTTTATGCTCTTTCTTCTGAGAGAGAAGCGGAGCCAAGCAGCATCCCCACTGCCCCGACCAGCTCTGGCGGGAAGACAGTGGGGTGCCTGGACGTGGAATGAGCTGAGGGGGCGTCTGAACCTGGACGCGAAGCGGGGAAGGTCCAAGAGTCGGGAGTTCAAGCACGGATAGGTTGTTCTTTGTTCAGCTCCGTTTGCCTTAGGATTTTGCGGCCGTTTTGTGTTTTTATTTGAGTTTCTCTTTTGCAATAATGTGTCCTTTAGTCTTAGTGCTCTTTGGGGTGGTTAGGGAGTTTTCAGCTTTTTCTGTGTTTTCCTGGATCCCTTGAATAAATGGCTTGGTGGGCTCCGAGTCATCAGCCCGCGCTCAGTCGGCTTGGCTTTTGTGAGGCTGCTCAGAATAAGCTTCTCTCTCTCAAAACCCCGAGAGCAGGGTCTCGGGGAGGCCTGTGGAGCCTTCTGGTCTCTTCTCCTGCCTGGGTGTGTGGGGGGCGGGGGGACACCGACAGGGGACGTGGGACACGATGATGGGGCTTTGGACCCATCCTGGCTTCCTGGCGCCCTGGGCCTCCACAGCTATTTGTAAGAGAAGGACTTGAAGCAGTCGGGGTCCGAAGACCCTCCCAAGGACAGCTCCCCGGCCTGGCTGTGTCGGGGGGTCGCGCTCCCGTACACCTGCCTGTGGCTGCGAGGGGGGCCGAGGCCCAAGCAAAGAGCCCACCGGAGCTGGGGCAGAGCGGAGGGAGGGATCCCGCCCTGGCGGCTTCCAGCTGGAAAGTGTTGACTTTGGAATTCCGTTGTTGTTATTTTTGCCGGTTCAGCTGAGCCTCTGGACCACTTATCTCTCTTTCCAGTCAACCATGGTCAGTAGGCGCGTCCCTGGAGGTGTCCCTCCGCCGCGGGCACGGGCTCGGTGGCGACATGCCCGCCCTGCAGGCCCAGCAGCCCCTGCCCTGCATCCCCGCAGACCAGCTCGTCATTTCCGCGGGCGGCAAACCCGACGACACGGGACACGCCTCCCATCGTGGGGCAGGGAGCTCACGGGGGCAGTAGAAGCGTCTAAAGGACACTTAATCCGTTAGGGTTTGGGTGGATGTCGGGGAGGCAGCATCAGCGGCTCCCAGCCCGACGTCATCTTAAGCCAGAACCGTTTCCTGTTGATGCTTTCACTGGTTTCTAGACACCGACTAGAGGGAAGTGCGGGGCTCAGACACCTCTGGCGCCTTCCAGGGGCCCGCACGGAGCCGTCATCGTTTTGACAAGTTATGCTACGTGCTCTAGTTCTTTTTTTTTTTTTTTTTTTTTTTTTTTACGTGGTCTAGTTTAAAACAGGCCGATAAGCAGGCCCACTGCTTGGCGTCATCATCTTCACCAAAACCAGCTTCTGAAACGTACCCGCACCTCCGCTGGGGACCTACTCTTGCCTTTCTTCGGTGCCCGTCTTTATCGGGAGCTTGGCCTTCCGAGAACCCTTCATTCTGTGGTTTGAATCTGGCCATGATTTTTGACCAAAAGCGACGCCATTTTTCTCTGAATAAGCAGAAGACTTTCTTGGGCACAATACGCCCGGGAGGAGGGTCAGAGAATATTTAATTCCCCACCTGCAGACGCCTCTTGTGCAGTGGACGTGCCAGTGAGAATTCAGAGAGGGCGAGGGCGAGGAGGGACGGGGCACACGGCAGCCCTGGCCTGAGCGGCCCCGTCCCCACCCTGTTTCCCCGCAGACTTCTCCATGATGACGCCCATCAATGACCTCCACACGGCCGACTCCTTGAACCTGGCCAAGGGGGAGCGGCTCATGCGGTGCAAGATCAGCAGCGTCTATCGTCTCCTCGACCTCTACGGCTGGGCCCAGCTGAGTGACACCTATGTCACGGTGAGCACAGCATCTGGGCCGGGTGGGCACCACCCGCGGCCCTGACAAAACCCCCAGGGAGAGCCCCTGCCCACTGCGTGGCCACGCACTGGGCCTCCCAAGGTTTCTAACCGGTGCTCACCTTTCCTGGGGCCCCCGCCCTGGATAAGGAGCTGGGAACCCCTGGATCCTATTCCTGGGGCCACCCTTGACCACTGGGGAGTCCTCGTGTCGTCCGTTGCCACGGTTCCAAATGAAGGCTAGGTCCTCTCCATCTCTCCGGTGCTGGGGGAAGATGAGGGTTCTTGTGAGTGAATTTTGGGTGCCATGGATTCAGGGGAGGAGGGCATTCAGGCAGAGCGTCCCGGGAATGACCCCTCCCCCTCCTTGCCACTGAGAACGCGTGTTTTCCCTCCAGCTGAGAGTCAGCAAGGAGCAAGACCACTTCCTCATTAGCCCCAAGGGAGTTTCTTGCAGTGAGGTCACCGCGTCCAGCCTGGTACGTATAGTCCAACGTCGCGCGGTCCGTTCCCTACACGAAAGCAGCCTACGATGACGGGTCATTTCCAGATCGGCCACTGCCCTCCTGCTCCTCGTGGAGCTCGCGCTCTGGTCTCGCACGTCGTCCCAAAGCATAGCACACCCCAACCGTGAGGCCAAGTGTGAGGTGCGGGTAGCACATCGCAGTAGGAGGGAGGGGAAGGAGATGGGCCTGGGGCCAGACCCCAAAGTCTGGGAGTTGGAGAATAAAGTCTTCAAAATACTGGAAAGTCTGCAAAGTCTGCATCGGGGAATACTTTAGGACAACAGCCAGTGCTTTGTCTCCAAGCAGAGCAAGAGTTGCCTAGTACCGGTGCCATTAGCAATAGTTTCTGGGGTCCTTTTGGGTTCTCTTGCTCCTTTTAGGTACAGTAGGAAGAAGCTTCCAGATCAGGAAAGATCCTAGGTGGAAGGAGGAAAGCAGTGGGAAGGACTGTCCTACTAGCAGAAGAGGCCCGGTGGCTCTTAGATGCCGAGGCTCTGCTGCTGTGCGTACGCCGGGGGGGCAGAGGGTGCCCCCGGGGCCCCCGCCAGGCTTGAGGCATACAGGTTGAACCCAGGTGTGCAGCAGGAGAGCCAGCTGACCAAGTCACAGAGCATCTGGGCGGGGTGGGACCCTGACTGCCGAGGCTGCTTTACAGGCAGGAGGGGACACTGAGCCCAGGGAAGTGAGTGACCTGCACACGGCCACCTAAGGAGGTCAGGGCCGAGGCACACTGGGACCAGACACAAGGAGGCACACGCTCCGCCTTGAAGGCATTTGTGGCCTCACTGGGGAGGCAGACAAGGCAGGCGATGACTGAGTCAGAGTGAAGAAGGCTCCCCTAGAGCAGGATGCTTGGGGAGCCCCGCAAGGGTGCAGGGGCCCAACAGGAGGGGCAAGGCAGGAGCGTGTGGGCTGGCCCGATGCTGAAGGAGCTGAGCCTCCAGGAGCCACAGGATAAGAAAATGTAGACCAGGGCAGGGGGCAGAGACGGGGCAGAGAGGACTGTGTCCCCAGCAGGAGGGCAGCTACACCCAGCCAGGCGCCGGCCAGACCCTGGCAGACCTGGGAGGACAGTGGGCGGCTGCGTGTGCTCATGGACCCAGTGGGTGGGGGGAGGCTGGGAAGGGGATAGGGACCCGATGGTAAGTGCCCCGGAAGGCGTTCGGGCTTGTCTGCTGGGCAGGTGGTGAGCCACTGAGCCGACAGCCAGGTTCCCAGGTAGCTCCCGGCCTCCGCCATCTGTGTGCGGGAGGACCGGCAGCAGGACGGCTGGCTGATCCCCCGAAGGGGTGCTGGATGGTCCCGGGAAGAGCTGCAGGCTGGTCCCAGGAGGGGGTGCAGGCTGGTCCCAGGAAGGGGTGCTAGATGGTCCCATGAAGGGGTGCTAGATGGTTCCAGGAAGGGGTGCAGGCTGGTCCCATGGAGGGGTGCTAGATGGTCCCGGGAAGGGGTTCTGGCTGGTTCCGAGAAGGGGTGCAGGCTGGTCCCGAGAAGGGGTGCAGGCTGGTCCCATGGAGGGGTGCTAGATGGTCCCAGGAAGGGGTGCAGGCTGGTCCCCAGAAGGGGTGCAGGCTGGTCCCAGGAAGGGGTGCAGGCTGGTCCCCGGAAGGGGTGCTGTACCGGGTCGTGCGCCAAGGTGGGAGCGGGGCTTGGAGCAAGGCTGAAGCTCGTGATTGGTAGGAAGCCCCGGGGTTCCCGTTAGCTGGAGGGGCTGCTGGACATTTCTGTGCTTACACGGTGTCAGTTGTCTCCGCCTACACGTGTACCTGGGGCGACCCGCTCTGAGTGCAGGGTTACGGCCCAGCCGCGGGGAAGGCTGTGAGGCCTCTGCCTCCCCAGGGGCCCTAAGTTTCTCTTCCCTGGCCCAGATCAAGGTGAACATCCTGGGAGAGGTGGTGGAGAAAGGCAGCAGCTGCTTCCCGGTGGACACCACGGGCTTCTGTCTGCATTCGGCCGTCTACGCAGCCCGACCGGACGTGCGCTGCATCATCCACCTGCACACGCCAGCCACGGCAGCCGTGAGTGTCGCCCTGGGGCCGGCGTCTCAGCCCCCGAGTCCCCGGGCCAAGCCGAGGAGGGGGAGCACTCAGTTCAGTGTCCCAACCCTAATCCTCTCCGCTTGTCCAAGCTGGGGAGTCTTGGTTAGGGGACCCCAGGGGGCCGTGCGGAGGGTGCTTTACTGCCCCCCACCCCCCTGCGGCACACACCCCACTGCACCCCCGCCCCCGGCCCAGGTCTGGTGAGAGGTCTCGATAGACAGTGGGACAGTGGGAATCTGGCCTCGGCCGCGTCTCATCGCCCAGGGCGGGCGGAGCGCTGGGGACCCGAGCAAGGAAACTCAGAGCAGAAGGAAGACCCTGGAGCATCAGGTTGTCCCCTGGGGCACTAGCCACTCCCCATGTGTCCCTGAGGCACGGCCACCAGCCCCGGGTGTCCCCTCCAGCTTCAGCCCCTCCTACTGACCTCCAGGCCGCAAGCCTAGAGGAGCCGAGCGGGCTTGTCACTGGCCTGGGGCTTCTTCCGCGAGGCACAGCAGTTACGAGCGCTCAGACTTTCCAGATTTGGGGCCAAGACTGATGTATTTGTGCTGAGCGTCCGCTGCTGCAGGGCCCGGCTTACGCGTGGGGCAGAGCGAGCGGACAAAGCCAGACGCCAGCTCTCCGCCAGCTCTCCGTGCTCCTTCTAGTAAAAGGCAGGGCGTGGGGATGGATCGTGACCGTCCCCTGCAGCTCCCACCGCCCTGCTGCCAGTAAAATGGGGCCTCCGTGTTCGTGCCCCGACCTCAAGGCGGAGGACGTCCGCCCATGCAGCCCGGAGGGCCGGGGTCCGGCTGCACTGCCGCTGCCTCCTGGGAGTCTAGGCGGAGGCTCGGGCGGGCGGCGGGGGCAGCAGCCCTCCTTCCCACGGGCCCTCCCAGGAGCAGTCAGGGAGACGCGCAGGGAGCCGTGTGTTGACGTGGCTGCCGCAGGGATCAGAGGAGGCGGCCAAGGGCCAGGCCCCGCCAGGCGCCGCGGCCACAGGGCAGGGGCAGGCGTGGGGCCTGGCCGTGCCCCTCGGAGCCCACCGTGAGGACAGGGGCTGGTCGCTGCAGGTGCTCACCCTCCTCCCGTCCCCCGGCAGGTGTCAGCCATGAAGTGCGGCCTCCTGCCCGTGTCCCACAACGCCCTGCTGGTGGGGGACATGGCCTACTACGACTTCAACGGCGGGATGGAGCAGGAGGAGGACCGGGTCAGCCTGCAGAAGTGCCTTGGACCCACCTGCAAGGTTCGCTCGCTGTTCCCCGGAGACACGCTGGGGCGGGAGCCTCAGGAGCCAACAGCGTGAGAGACGTGTGTGTGCTCAGGGGACGTGTGTCGAAGTCGCACGTGAACAAAATAGTGGGATGGAATTCCCTCTGCCCCGTTGTCCTGAGGTTCCGGGGCACGCTCCGCGGGGGTGTTCACCTGAGCTTCCTGAGCTAGGACCCTAAACACATTCTCCTTTTCCCCTTAGCAATATCCAGGAAGCACCTTTGTGTGGTTCTGAATATTCTCGAAGTCACTGCCTTTAAATTAGTAGATTGTACCTCGCGGTATGAATGGCTGTGCCGCCAGCCACCCTAGCGGTGCTGTGACTGGACGATGGAGGCCTGCTCCCCTCTGGCTTCCCTGAGTAGATAACAAGCGATGAAAACCCTTTTGGGGGATCCCTGGGTGGCGCAGCGGTTTGGCGCCTGCCTTTGGCCCAGGGCGCGATCCTGGAGACCCGGGATCGAATCCCACGTCGGGCTCCCGGTGCATGGAGCCTGCTTCTCCCTCTGCCTGTGTCTCTGCCTCTCTCTCTCTCTCTCTCTCTCTGTGTGACTATCATAAATAATAAATTAAAAAAAAAAAGAAAACCCTTTTGGTTCGACCCCTGTATATGCCTCAGGTCATCGCCTTAGGATAAGTTCCTGCGGATACACATCCCAGGGCTCTTACGTCACTCCCCGGGGCTCTTACCTTACACCCCAGGGCTCTTACGTCACATCCAGGGGCTCTTACGTCACACCCCAAGGGCTCTTACGTCACACCCCAGGGCTCTTACGTCACGCCCCGAGGGCTCTTACGTCACGCCCTGGGACTCTTACGTCACGCCCTGGGGCTCTTACGTCACGCCCCAAGGGCTCTTACGTCACAGGGGCATGTTGCCCCCTCCTTCCGCAGGATCTAGTGTGTGAGAAGGCTGTTTCCCTGCGGTCTCCCCAAACTTGAGTGTTTTATCACTTCTTTTTTTTTTTTTTTTTTTTGCTAACTTCATACAGAAAAACAATCTCACATCATTTGGCTTAAATCTAAAGACTTATTTTTAAAAAAGATTTTATTTATTCGTGAGACCCGGAGAGAGGCAGGGATCCAGGCAGGGGGAGAAGCAGGCTCCATGCAGGGAGCCCGATGCGGGACTCGATCCCGGGACCCCAGGGTCACGCCCTGAGCCCAAGGCAGGTGCTCCACCGCTGGACCCCCCAGGCGCCCCTAAACACCTATTTTTTAACAGTGGGATTAGGCATAGCCGGCTTAGCACGGGACGTTCTGGCGCTGAGCCTGGGTTGACGGGCGCCTGTGCCTGGCCTCGAAAGGCAGTCGCTGCCTGAGCCATTTCCAGCCTGAGTCCCCGTCTTCCCGTGTCACACACGAAGGAGAAACCCCGTCCGTCTGATGATCTCTAAGTCAACCACGTCACAGGAGCAAGAGGTTGCTTCTGGGGTCAGACCCTCGTATTGGGTGTGACGTAATTTCATCCACCAGTTTTCCAGACGTCCGAGCGCCCCGAGACCTAAAACCCCAGGCATTGCCCAAAGAAACGGACCAAGCTCTCCGGTCTCGGTTTTAAGAAGCGTCTCCTGTCTCCCAGGGAGGGGGCTTCGGGTTAAGATCACACGTGGGGCGACACGGGGTGTCGGTATGGGGGCAGTGAGTGAGGAGTTGGGGCCGTGCTTTGGGACTGGGTGTGGAAACTGGCCTGGAATAAATGCAAAGTCTCTCCCTACCTACCGTTTGAAAGGCTCGGAGCTTTAATCGGCCGTGTGCTCCTCTGCAGATCCTGGTGCTAAGGAACCACGGGGTGGTTGCCCTGGGGGACACCGTGGAGGAGGCGTTCTACAAGATTTTCCACCTGCAGGCTGCATGTGAGATACAGGTGAGCAGGGCCCTCGGGGTGGGCCTGGCCTGGCCCTACGGAGGCCCCCGCTGTGGCTGCAGGGGTCCTGGGACCCACCACATAAAAGCCTCCCCTGTTTCTCCGCCTTGGTGCCACCTTATCCTTCGAAAGTTCCACCCTCACGTCGGTTTTGTGGCTCTAGAACATCTCTCAGTGTCAGACGTGTGCCCCTCTTGGGGGCCAGGGCCCAGGGCGGGGAGCCCATCAGTTGGGCCGCGGAGAAACCATAACAGGGGCATCGAAGGCCTCACCCTGTACCCGTCCCGGGTGTAACGGTCACGCCTGGCGACGCCCAACAGGCGCCACGTAGGCGGGTCTCTCTCTGCCTGGAGGGCGCAGTTGGCAAAGCCCAGGAGAGGTGGACAGCAGGCCCGGGTGGCGCTTGACACGGAAGCCCGGACACGGGAGCCGCCGAGATGACGGGGAGCCCACGGTCAGGTTCCCCCGACAGTCGGGGATAGGAGACGGGCGGCTGGGGGTCGCCCGTGATCTGGGGCCCCTGGAGGGGCTGCTGGGAGAGCAGTAGGAAAACGCAGATCCCGCAGTTTAGCCAGGTCGCACCTGCTCCCTTCGGGGTGCCGGGGGGGGCCACGCAAGCTGAAAGGACCGGGCCCTCCCCGGCTGGGATCGGCGCCCCCACCGCTTCTTTCCGCAGCCTGGCTTCCTCGGGGCGCACGGGGCTGTGGTCCCTGTGAGGAGGGCGCCTCCCAGATCAGGAGCGGCGTGGCCTCCGACGGGAGGGCCTCCGGGTGCCCTCTCCTGGCTGCTCAGGGCGGAGCGCCCCGGCGCGGGACCTGCTTTTGGCCTGGGGTCGGCCGGGGCTGGGATGCTCCCGAGTGGCGGTGGGGATGCGGCAGGCGGCGCCCTTCTGAGCAATTTTTTAAAGATTTTCCGTATTCAGTCGTGAGACCCAGAGAAAAGCAGAGCCTGGGGCAGAGGGAGACGCAGGCTCCCCGCGGGGACCCGATGGGGACGCGGTCCTGGGACCCGGGGTCACGGCCTGGGCCGAAGGCGGCGCTCCACCGCGGAGCCCCCAGGGCCCTTCCTCAGGGTCACCTGTGCCGGGGGACAGGTGTGAGGACGGTGAGGAAGACGCGTGGGGAAGGTGCACAACCGCCCCCTGGCCCGGGAGCTGCAGCCCCTGGCGGAGGCCCCACGGCCCTCGCCTCCCCATCCGGGCTCCTGCGAGCTCCCCGGCTTACTTAAGAAGAGGCTCCCGTCGCTCGGCAGGCAGCCGGGCCCTGAGCGGATGGGGGAGATGCCCGTGTGCCCCCCACGAGGCGCCGACGTGCCCCCGGCCCCGCACCAACGCCAGTGCCAGCGGGCGAGCCGGGCAGGTGGAAGCGCGGAGCCCCAGGCCCCGGCCCCTCGGCTGCACCTGCTGCCACGTTCTCTGCAGTCGGGACTGGCTCCAGGCCACCTCGTCCCAGTGCGTCGGGTGACGGAGGCAGCTGGCCCCCGGGAAGGCTCCGGTGCCTTCCTTGTGGCTCCTGGGGCAGGGAGGTGTTGGAGGAAGCTGGAAGGGGCGGAGGTGGCAAGGCAGGCTCAGGCTGGAGGTGGGCAGCAGGGGCATGGGCCACCCAGGGTGAGGTCACGGCTGCCTGGGGACGGCCCCCAGCTCGGCGCCCAGGTTGTGCTGTGTCGCCGGCCCACCTTCTGCGCTGGGGGTGGGGCCTGGGCGGGCAAGCACGCGGCTGTGGCCATCTCCGTGGCTCAGGCCCCGGGCCCGGCCCATCCTCCTGGGACGGTGTTCCCACCGCTCCCCGTAGGTTCGGGGTCCTGGGCACTGGGTCACCCCAGCTGAGACAGGCGCCCAGCTCTGCCTGCAGCAGATGGGAGGAGGCTCCCCTCCCCGTGCTCCATGGCCGCGGAGACGGGGGACGTGGGGCCCTGGGCAGCCCTGTCCTCCTCTGGGACCGGCAGGTCCCGGGGCCCGTCGCCTCGCTCATGGGTGAGATTATTGCTCATAAACGTGGACGTGCACCCTCCGTGCACCCGGGCATTCTCGGCGCCTTATGGTATCAGCTTAGGTGACGCTCGCAAGGCTCGAGCGCCTCTGGCCTTCGTCTTACAGAGGGGGAGGCAGGCACGGGAGGCCAGGGAGCAGCCCGAGTGCCAGGGCGAGGACGCGGCCGGCCAGGACTCGCACCGGGAGCCTGCCTCCAGGTCCCTGGCCGGCCCCTAGCACCGCAAGGCCTCGCGGCCTAGGGTCTGTGCCGGGCCCAGGGCCCCGGGTAGCACCACCCAGCCACACGGTCCGCCCGGCGCGGTAACGGGCCTCCAGCTGCGATGCGTGGCCCCGAGGGGGCTCCCCAGCCGGCAGCAGAGAAGCTGGGCGCAGCAGTGGAAGCAGGACTCGTGAGGGCACGTAACAGGCAGTAGGCGTGGACTCGGGGCGACCGGCACCCCCTGCTGCCCCTGCTGAGGTCTGCCCCCGGGATGCTGGGCCCCCGGCTCTGGGGCTGGAATGAACCACGGGGAGTCCCCATTTTTGCCAGATGTGGAGTCATCGGTCCAAGATGAGGATGCGGGCTTCCGCGGGCACACGTCCTGGATGCGGAGGGCGAGGAAAGTGAGGGCTGTGGCCCCTCGCCTTCACAGGGTCCTGGGTCACCTCGCAGGGACGGCCTGGCTGACCTCCAGGACGCCCCTGGGCACTCGTCACACTGCCGGAGCCCACGCGGGCCGGGGCGTGTTCCCACCCGTGGGCTCAGACACGCGCGCTCGCCCGCAGGCCTAAGCGCAGCCTTTGGTCTTCAGCAGAGACTGGAGCGCTGGGGTTCGTGTGATCGGCGTCCCCTTCCGACGAGGAGCTGACAGGCTGGCACGAGGCAACCAGGGGCACAGCTCAGCCCCGGGCGCACGACCCGGAGCCCCCGGAGCCACCGCGCTCCTGCTGCCGGAGTCAGCCGGACGCCCGGTCGTGACCTGTCATATCTGAGCGCTGGACCCGGGGAGGGACCGGGAGGCAAGGAGATGGTCAGGCTCGTGCACCCGGCCGCTGGGGTTGCATGGTTCTCGCCCTCAAACCTGAAGCCCGCGGCCCGCAGCTGCGTGTCGTAGCCCCTGGCCGCGGGGCCCAGACGGTGCGGCGGGCACCCCAGGTCCAGGGGTCCAGGCGTCGTGTGGCCCCGTCTGGGCTTCCCGGATGCGCTCACCGCCGCGCCGTGCTTCGAGGGCCAGGACGCCAGCCTGCTTCCTTCAAGCAGCTTTTCCTAAACAAGAAAAAGGCAGGGAGGGAGATTTTAGATGGACAGAAAGATGAAGAAGGAGAACACGGTGCGCACCCTCTGCCCACCACCCAGGCCGAGGAAGTTAAAGCCTTCCTACGCCAGACGTCTTCCTCCCGAGGGGAGGAGCCGGGGCAGACGGGCGCTGACGGCCTCTCGGGAGCCGACCTCCCACCTTCCCCAGAAATGACCGCAGGTTGAGGTTGGTCTGTATCCCAGGTAACGCTCCAGCCTTCTGTATTGCTGTAGTGTTTAGTGTTCTAGAGGGATGTTGCTTAGTTATTCGTGAGACACGGAGAGAGCGAGAGAGGCAGAGACACAGGCAGCGGGAGAAGCAGGCTCCATGCGGAGAGCCTGACGCGGGACTCAATCCCGGGACCCCGGGGTCACGCTCCGCCGCTGAGCCCCCGGGCGTCCCTGTATTGCGTTATTCCTAAGGCTTCACACTTGCGGTTTCTTCCTCTTCTGGTCTCCAAGGGCCGGAGCGGCGTTTCCTCCGGGAGGAAAACCCCAACCGCCGCTCACATCTCCAGGCGTGTGCACACACCAGGCTGAGCCTTCTGCTCCTCCCCGCAGGTGTCCGCCCTGTCCAGCGCTGGGGGCGTGGAGAACCTCATCCTCCTGAAGCAGGAGAAGCACCGACCCCACGAGGTCGGCTCCGTGCAGTGGGCAGGGAGCACCTTCGGGCCCATGCAGAAGAGTCGGCTGGGGGAGCACGAGTTCGAGGCCCTCATGAGGATGCTGGACAACCTGGTGAGTCCCCTGCCGCTGCCCTTCCCGGCCGGTCTGCTGAGACAGTCGGGGGGACGCAGGAGGCGGGCACAAGAGGGGCGGCACCGGGGTTAAGCTGTCAAGGCCTCGTCGGTTGGCGACTGACTCACAGTTTGGAGTCATTCTAGTAGGAGTTGAGTATTTTTAGACCATGGCCGAGCGCCCCCAGCTCCGGGGCTGCAGATGCCGTCTTATGTTGTGGCTCAGCTCTCTCTCGGGCAGTTACTTCTGCTTCTCTTATCTCATGACTTGAATGTAGCAACCACGTGATACACGGACTGCCCTACAGTATCCTGCGTAACGGCTGCATGAGTCCATCGTGGAGGGGGTCACCCGGGACGTGTCCGGGGGTCGGCTTTAAAGGATATGGGGTGTAGAGTTTATTTTTTTATTAATTTTTTTAATTCATGTATTCATGAGAGACACAGAGAAAGAGAGAGAGGCAGAGACGCAGGCAGAGGGAGAAGCAGGCTCCATGCAGGGAGCCCGACGTGGGACTCGATCCTGAGTCTCCAGGATCACGCCCCGGGCTGCAGGCAGATGCTCAACCGCTGAGCCACCCGGGTGTCCCTGGGGTGTAGAGTTTAGTTGGTGACATGACATAACCGGGGGGCAGCTGGGAGGCGAGGAGAGCGCACGACGAGGAGGAACTGGGTGCGGGAAGAGACTGTGGCTTCTCTGATTGGTCGGAGAAGTGAAGGAGGCCACCCGTCCCCGGACCGTTTCCGTACCTGACTCGTGTTCCTGTCCTCACTGCCACCGCCGTGGACCCTCTTTATCGTGACCGGGTCACTGCCGTCCTTGATCTTTTTCTCCCTGCCCTCGGGTCCGTCCAAACCATCCCTACCTTATCGCCAGGGTGACCATGAGGGTCACTTTGTAACGATGAAAAATACAATCTGCCTGGAAACTACAATTCCCATTAACACTCATGTGCCGAGCAATCGACGCCTAGACAAAGCACCAGGGCAAGGGAGTTTCCTACAGAAATTCTATCATATCTTTTAAGAAACAGATAATTCTTCTGCCATTTAAACTGTTTCAGGAAAATAAATAAATAAATAAATAAATAAATGAATAAATAAATAAATAAGTAAATAAGCTGTTTCAGAGAATGAAAGTAGGACGTGGAACATAACATAATTCTAACAGGGTCAGGGCGCTCAGTCGGTAGGTGTCTGCCTTCGGCTCCAGTCATGATCTCAGGGTCCCGGGATCGAGTCCGGCATCGGGCTTCCTGCTTATGGAGCCTGCTTCTCTCCCTCTCCCGCTGTCTCTGCACCCTCCCACCACACTCATGCTTGCTCTCTCTCACTCTCGCGAATAAATAAAATCTAAAAAAAAGTTATTTGGGGGACCCCTGGGTGGCTCAGGGGTTTATCACCTGCCTTTGGCCCAGGGCGTGATCCTGGAGTCCCGGGATCGAGTCCCGCGTCGGTCTCCCTCCATGGAGCCTGATTCTCCCTCCTCCTGTGTCTCTGCCTCTCTCTGTGTGTGTCTCATGAATAAATAAATAAAATCTTTAAAAAAAGGTTATTTGATGAAAATGTATCCATTTATAATAAAATAATAGCTGTTAAGAGAGGAGGACACTTATTTAACATGATTAATTTTTTTTCTCGGGACAAGAGCCAATATCTTGGTGAAACACTAGACGTATTTCCACTAATTTTGAAACAAAATAATGATTCTTGCTGTCAGCACTTTTAATATTGTTCTAGAATAATACTGGAACACGATCTGAAATAGTGAAGCATCAAAATAAAATAAATATTGAAAAGGAAACAAAATTACTTGTCTGTATAGGTATTATGGTTACACGCCTATAAAGTCCCCAAGAGTCAACGGAGACAAAAACATTAGAAATAATGAGTGCATTTTTAAGTAGTCAGTTATGAAAATGCATTTTAAAAAGTGGTAGCTTTTTTTTTTGCATCTTAACATATAATAATATATTTGAAAATACAGTAATGGGAGGAAATAGCCCTATTTGCAAATGCAGAAAAACCATAAAACATTGAGCAGAACTGATTTAAAGGAAACCATAAAATTTTACCAGTAGATGTCAGAGGAAGCCTGAATTCAGTGAAGAGACACAGTTTCCTCTTGGTTAGAAAATTCCATAAGGTGGGGACACCCGGGTGGCTCAGTGGTAGAGCATCTGCCTTGGGCTCAGGTTGTGACTCCAGGTCCCGGGATCGAATCCCACGTCGGGCTCCCCGCGTGGAGCCTGCTTCTCCCTCTGCCTGTGTCTCTGCCTCTCTCTGTCTCTCATGAATAAATACATAAAATCGGAAAAAAATAATTCCATAGGGTTAAGAGGTCCCGTTTCCAAATCAATGACCTCAATGTAACCCTTCAATGATAGGGGAGCACAGAAGGACTTTGCAAACATGTTTTCCCAAGTGGAACTGAGAGTGGCCAGGAAAACCCTATGAAAAGAAGAGTAATTGAGGATACTTGTCCCATCACATGGTAAAGCGTGAAAAAGTTTTAGCAACTAAAGAGCGGAGCCCCAGTGCAGGATGGACAGGCGAAGCAGTGGGACAGAGAATCAGAAACGGATCCTAAATATATGGGGGCTTAACACAGGGCAAGTAGGCATCTTATGAAGCAGGAGGAGGAGGACTGACTGCTAGGCCTTTGGGAAATAAATAAGGTAGATCATTTCTTTCGGCCAGAAGAATTCCTGATTTATCAAAAATTTATAACATGAAAGAGACTCCTAGATATTTAAAAACGGATTTATACGTTTGATGCTCTTTTGTTGGGAAACAACTAACCGAGCATGGTGGGAAAGTCTGGAACCATGATGACGAGCATTGACAGTTATGATATTAAAATTGAAAATGTATATTTTTGGGGATCCCTGGGTGGCGCAGCGGTTTGGCGCCTGCCTTTGGCCCAGGGCGCGATCCTGGAGACCCGGGATCAAATCCCACATCGGGCTCCCAGTGCATGGAGCCTGCTTCTCCCTCTGCCTGTGTCTCTGCCTCTCTCTCTCTCTCTCTCTGTGACTATCATAAATAAATAAAAATTAAAAAAAAAGAACATGTATATTTTTATACACTCTCCCTCCCTCTCATCCTAACGCTAGGAGCCCCCCACGCAGAGCACCGCCCCAGGACTCTGGGATCGCGACCCAAACCAAAGGCAGAGGCTTGACTCACTGAGCCACCCGAGCAGCCCAACCGCAGAGATTTTTAGTGCTCGTCCCTGGGGATGAGATTTTCGTGTAAAACCCACTTTTTTCTTATGTTTTTCCATATTGCCTGGTTTTTTTAGACAGGTCTGTATTTTCTTTATAATCAGAAAAATATTTTAATGCCTCCTTAATTAAAAAACAAAAAAGGCAAAGCCAAGGAGGACGGGTCAGGAGCTGTCCAGATGACCGTTCCCAGTGCGCAGCGGCCCCTCCTCGCTCAGGGGGCGGGTGTTCCTGAGCCGGACCTTCGGCTTCGGAGAAGTAAACGGCTTAGAGACCTGGGAGTCGGGAAAACGAGGGCTGACTGTTGGAATCAACTGGAAACTCTTAAAAATCCTGCAGTGCAGAGCACGCGGGAGCTCTGAGGGTGCAGGCAGCAGCCTTGGGAAGCCCCCCGGTGAAGGAGGAAGGAGGTTGGGGCCGGGGCACGGGGCGCACGGCGCAGACTGGGATGGAGACCAAGTCCTGGAGAAGGGGGGGGCGCAGCGTGTGGGAGCCGTGCACGGGGGGACGGTTCTCCCCACGGTAAGTGGCCGTGCCCCCGTCCCTTCTAGGGTTACAGAACAGGCTACACCTACCGCTACCCCTTTGTTCAAGAGAAAACCAAACACAAGAGCGAGGTGGAAATCCCAGCCACCGTCACGGCCTTCGTGTTTGAGGAGGACGGCGCCCCGGTGCCCGCCCTGCGGCAGCACGCCCAGAAGCAGCAGAAGGAGAAGACCCGTTGGCTCAACACGCCCAACACCTACCTGCGGGTCAACGTGGCTGATGAGGTGCAGAGGAGCATGGGCAGCCCGCGGCCCAAGACCACAGTAAGGGGGACGGCGGGCGGACGGGGGCCTGGCCCCGCCTCTGGTTAAGCCTGGGGCTGGGGTCAGATTCCCATGGGGCTTCCCACTGGGCTCACGCCCCCGGGGCTCTGTCCCTGTTCCCGCACCTCTGCGCTGGGCCGGGGTCCTGGGGAGCAGCTCCCTCCGGGGCCGACCGGCCCTCGCTCCCCACTGCACAACACCCGGGAGCACGAGGCTTTTGCTTCCTGCCCCCCTCACGGGGCTTCTGGGGAGGTCCCGGGCGTCCAGCATTTGGACTGCGGATGCAAACCCAGGAGGTGGGCGGGATGCTGCGGTCTCCTGCGTAGTCTCCCGCTCACGCCCCTTCTCCGTCTCGGGCTCCTGCACACTCACGGACACGTTGGCTCTTCATCTGATGTTGTTGACACTAAAGTATCTAGGAGCCAAAGAGAATAGGCTTTTGTTAAAAAATAAATAAAGAAAAAAAAAAGCCCTGCAAAGTGCAATCATAAGCCAGGGCCCCGGGTGGCTCCGTCCGTCAGGCTCCCAGCTGGCGACCACAGCGCAGGTCGTGACCTCAGGGTTGAGGGACCCAGCCCCGTGTCGGGCTCTGCGTGCTCAGCGCAGAGTCTGCTTGGGACCCTCTCCCCCTCCCCGCCCCCGCCCCGCTCTGAGCAAGTGCATAGAATCTGAAGCCGGTAAGTCACCGGACTCTGCGCTCGGGCGGCTGCCTGCCCGTCACGCCGGGGGTCAGGGTGCGGAGCCGGCTCTCCAGCTGCCGCCCACCGCAGGCCGGGCCCTTTGGCCCCCGGGCCCCGATGCTCGTCTCTGCTCCAGGGCCCCAATGCCCCTCTCTGCTCTGGGCCCCCCATGCCCGTCTCTGCTCCGGGAGGCGGCCAGCCCTGCAGGAGGCCCAGGCGGGGAGCGTCCGTGCGCGGGCCTGCTGACCATCCCCGTGGGCCGCCCGGCCAGACCTCGGGTGGGCCGTGGGGCGGCGTGCGGACCTTACGCCTCTGCCTCACCCCCCGGTCTCGTGTGTCTGCAGTGGATGAAGGCCGACGAGGTGGACAAGTCCAGCAGCGGCATGCCCATACGGATCGAGAACCCCAACCAGTTTGTGCCTCTCTATACCGACCCCCAGGAGGTTCTGGACATGCGGAACAAGGTAAGGGCAGCTGCCCAGCCCGCCGCCCCTCGCCCGAGCCGCACTGCCTGAGGCCCCGCAGGTACGAGCCGAGCGCCAGGATGTGCCCAGGCCCTCTGACGAGAAAGAACCCTCCGGGCGGTGGTAGCCGGCGACCCCGGCCCTAGAGACGCTGCCTGAGCCCACCTCGAGTCCGCGCGGACCTTATGCCGGTCCCCTTTGGGCTCATCCTCAAAGTGCCACGGTCCTTTGTATTTATTTCTCACCCTCCACGAGTCGCTCGCTCTGTTTCTTGTGTTAAAGACTCCGGGCGTAGCCGAGCCCGCGTGAGGTCGACAGGCCCGTGGAGCGGCGATGCGACGGTGGTCGGTGGTCCGAGGACCGTCTGCGGGGCTTGGGTGACGGTGCCTCCCCAGGGAGAGACCCAGGCTCCAGAGTCGTGGCTCCCGGAAGCCGGCGCAGTGAGGAGACCCCTCGGGGGCTTCGGTAGACCGAGCCCCCCAGGGTGCACCTCGCCTCGGCCTGCACCCCCGCGGCGGCTCCCGGCGCTCATGGGCTCCGCTCGCCGACAGGGCCTCCCAGGGGACACGGGCCTCCAGCCCCGGGGGACGGCTGTAGCCCTGGGCCCCGGCGCCCTCGACGGCGCCCCCGACGAGCAGCCGCTAGCTCACTCTCTCTTCCCTTGCCCGCAGATTCGAGAACAAAACCGACAGGACGTGAAGTCAGCGGGGCCTCAGTCCCAGCTCCTGGCGAGCGTCATTGCCGAGAAGAGCCGAAGCCCGGTACAGCAGAAGCCGCCCCTGCCCGGAGGGGAAGCGTGCTCGCCTTCGGGGCCTTCAGTGCCCGAGGCCGGGCGGCGGGACCCCTGAGTCCTCAGGCCCACCCTTGTCCGTGATCTTGGGCGCTGCCGCTCTTGCTGCAGGACGGACGCTGTGAGGACCAGGGCCGGCGTGGGGCCGGGGCGGGAGCAGCGCCCGCCCGCCCCGCAGTGACGCTGACTTCCAAGCTTGACCCAGGGAACCCCGCTCGGCCCCCACGGCTCCTGCCCAGTGGGCGTCGCGGGAGCGCGGCTGGCGGTTCCAGCTGCTCCCGGCCGGCCTGCCCTCGGTGCTCCTGGCCTCTGCGCGTGGACACGGCAGCAGCCAGCCGTGGCGCTGGGGGACGTCCATGTGCTCGCAGAGGAGGGGCACGTGTGTGAGGACGGTGCACGCTCAGGCTGGCCAGGAGCCCCCACACCCATGTAGAGTAGGACGTAGGGAGTCGCTCCGGGGCCGAGATGGGGCCACCCGGGGCCAGTGCGTAGGGAAGGGCGGGAGGGTCAGAGGCGCAGCTTGTGTCGCAAGCCATTACCCCGAGGGCGGCCAGGAGGGAGGGACACAGGACCCGCTCCGCCCGCCCCCGGAGCAGATGGAGGCCGCTGAGCTCAGGCTGCAGCCACAGGGAGGGGCCGTGCAGGCGCCGTGAGGGTCACCGGCCGCCACGCGCCGGGGTGGGGAGTCGGAGTTCCTGCGCCCCCAGAGCGGGGCGGTGAGTCCTCAACACGGGCCGGGGTGCGGGTCCCTTGGGGGCGCCGCGGCGTCTCAGGGAAGGTGGCCCGGAGGCCGGCGCAGGCCCTGCAGGGGCTCGCGTCCTTTGAGCGTTGCGCTCTTTGGCTGCTCCCCGGCTTCGGAGCACGGCGCCCTCGAAGGCCAGCATGAGGCCCACATTAGAAGGGACCGAGGGGTCAGAGGACTGCGGAGGCTCCCGCGAGGCCCGGCTGTGAGCTCCCCCGAGCCGGGGGCTCCGCAGTGCCCCCAGGGACCCGCGACGCCGGCCCCGAAGATCCAGGACTCAGGACCTTGGCTCGCTTGTGACTTACGGCCGTGCGCGGAGCAGGACTAACCGCCGGACCGACGCTGAAGCCGCTGTGTCTTGCGCTGACCTCGTGCCTGTGCTGTGGCTCATGCTGCTGGGGGGGGGGGGGTGGCGCTGGGCCGGCGGCGGGACGCAGGGCTGCGGGGCTGCGGGGCTGCAGGGCTGTGGGGCTGCGGCTGTGCATGCGGACGGCGCGGGCGACCCGCGGGGCTGCAATAAACGCGTCTTCTTCTGCTTGGGCGCATCCTTCGCCTTTCTTTCCGGGGCACAGGGCGGGCTCCCCGCATCCGTCGGGGCCGCGGCAGAGACCCCAGGGTGGGGGGAGGCAGCGGGGGAGCGGACGCCCCAGGCCCGGGGCCCTGCCGTTTCCAGGAGCGAGAGCACCGGCAGCTGCGGGAGGGACAGAAGCTTGGGCCCGGGCCCCGCGGCGGCGCTCAGGGGGCGACACGCGCTCTGTGGTTGACTTTCAGTCCACGGAGAGCCAGCTGGCGGCCCAGGGCGACGCGGACACCAAAGACGACGCGGAGGAGACGGCGCCCAACCCCTTCAGCCAGCTCACGGACCAGGACCTGGAGGAGTACAAGAAGGAGGTGGAGCGGAAGACGCTGGAGCTGGACGGTGAGGGGCCCCGGGGTGACGGGTGCTGCCCCTCCGGGCCTGCCGGGCGTGCGACGGGGCCGCAGGGGCGCTTGGGGCCAGAGCATCCGCTGTGACGGGGGGTGACAGGAGGGGAGCCCACGGCGGACCCGTTGCATTGGGCACCAGCCGGCCTGCCTGCAGGGGGACGCCCGCCAGCGGCCTCCCGTGGCCCCCTCACCCCTCCTTCACTGTGGGATCCGCAGCCCGGCCCGAGTCTCAGGTCGACCCCACACGTGCCATCACGGCGGCTGCGTGCTCGCGGTCACACCCGTGTCCCCGCCTGGCACAGCTTCCCCCCCCCCCGGGCTCCGGCCCCAGAACTGCCATCTCAGCCCCGTCCCCCCTCACTCACCCCACCCGCCCCGTGTTTCAAGAGCACGTGGGGCCGAGGCACGGAGACGTCAGCTTCCGGCCGGCTTGCGTCCTCCCAGGCGCAGCCCTGGTCACGCCCCCTCCCCATGCGGGCTCGGCGCCTTCCGGGCACCCAGCAGGCCCTGCCTGGCGGGCTCAGGGTGCTCGTGTGACGGTTGAAAAAGTGGGGAGAAAACGGGGTGCTTTCTATCCCCGGGGGATTATTGGGCCGAACGTGAAGTCAGATAAAGAAGCTCCGAGCACCCAGACCGTGGGCGGGAAACCTGCGGCCCCGTGGTCCCGTCGGGGTGACGCCGCCCTGGGAGACCTGCGGGGACCCCAACTCCCTCCTCCGTCTGCCTTCCCCCGGGATGTCGGACAGACTCCTAGAGGCTTGTGGGGTCAGCGAGGAGGAAGAAGCACCCGTGGGTGTCCCCTGTCTGCCCTCCTCTCCTCCGCTTGAGCCCACCCTGAGGCGGCTTTCTGTGCTTTCAGGGGAGAAGGAGACCCCGGCGGAGGGCCCGGGCTCTCCGGGGTCGGCTCCAGCGTCCGCGGCCCAGAGCCCAGCGCGGTCGGAGACGAAGAGCCCCGCGGTGTCTCCCTCCAGGTCTGCAGACGGTGAGCGGAGGGGACCAGGCGCCTCCACGGCCGGGCGGGCTCCGCGGGGGGCCCCGGGGGCTTTCTGGGATCTGAGACCGGGGCCACCAAAGTTAAGCTTCTTTCCTTCACGAGCCGGGACATCGCGGCCTAAAACTTGCGTCCCCGCCTGCGGGATGATGAGGAAGCTGATGGCTGGCGCGCGGCCTCCCGACCCCTGACCCCCGAGGCTGCTGGTGGTCCCTCTGGGGGCACCGGCCCGGGGCTCAGGCTTCACTGCGGGTGGGGGTCCCCGGGATCTCACGAAGACGAAGGTCCTGGGCGGAAGGTCTGCGGTGGGAGCTGAGCTGTTTCCAGAAGCTCCCGGGTTAGGCTGACGATATCCTGCGCAGCCCTGGGACCTCGGCAGGTTGGAGCCACCTGGGGGGCTTCCCACCCCCGACAGCGGCCTGGGCCCCAGCACGGCAGCCCCTTGGCCCCCCCAGCGGTCCGGGCCGGGGCAGAGGAGAACGTGCCGGCCCCGCTCCCTCCCGGGCTGAGAACCGCTGCGCACGTGCTGGCCCAGAGCGTTTAGGCCCAGGCCCGCCTGGAGATCGGAGCATCTTTGTGCCTCAGTTTACTTGTCTGTCAAGGTATTCTCCCTTCTTAGGGTTCTTAGAGGGAGGCTGTCGTTGAGAGCGTAACAAATGGAATCTAAAAATACAATGAAAGAAAGAATAAAAACACTTAAGGGTAAGATCCAGCCGGGGTCACGATGAACGCTGCGCACGGCGGGTAACGGCCCCGCTGCGGCCTGTGCCCCCGAGATTACCCAAGGGTCTCGACCGAGCTCCGTGAGCCCCCCGGAGCGGGGGCCGTCCTCCCCGGGGCCCCGGACTCGGCGCTGGGCTGCCCAACAGGGCTGGTGGCCCGATGACATCTTCCGTGTCCGGAACAGGGTGACCGCCGTGCGCCCTGCAGCCCCCCGGCCCCCTCCACGGCTGGGTCGCCGCCTCGAGCGCGGTCCCGGTGCCGCCCGAGGACGCCGTCTGCTCGGGGCCAGGGCTCCAAGCGACGTGCCCCGGCCGCTGCGTTCCCTGGCCTCACCGTGCGTCGGCAGCCGTCTCCCGTCGCCCGATCGCTGCCCCTTTGTGCTTCATCAACAGAGGGTCCCCGATTCTGAACACCTGTCTCCGTAGTGAGTGAGGCGGGCGGCTTCCTCACCCCAATACTTACCGCGGGGCGGGGAAGGGCTTCATCAAAACGAGTGGATCTCAGCTTGCTTTTGCTTGGGTCAGCTGACCCCTCAGTGTCCCCACATCTCTGTCCCCCAGCTGACCCCTCAGTGCCCCCCGTCTGTGTCCCCCCAGCTGACCCCTCAGTGTCCCCACATCTCTGTCCCCCAGCTGACCCCTCAGTGTCCCCACAGCTCTGTCCCCCAGCTGACCCCTCAGTGCCCCCCGTCTGTGTCCCCCCAGCTGACCCCTCAGTGTCCCCACATCTCTGTCCCCCAGCTGACCCCTCAGTGTCCCCACATCTCTGTCCCCCAGCTGACCCCTCAGTGTCCCCCATCTCTGTCCCCCAGCTGACCCCTCAGTGCCCCCGTCTGTGTCCCCCCAGCTGACCCCTCAGTGTCCCCACATCTCTGTCCCCCAGCTGACCCCTCAGTGCCCCACTCTGTCCCCCAGCTGACCCTCAGTGTCCCCCAGCTCTGTCCCCAGCTGACCCTCAGTGTCCCCCGTCTGTGTCCCCCAGCTGACCCCTCAGTGTCCCCACATCTCTGTCCCCCAGCTGACCCCTCAGTGTCCCCACATCTCTGTCCCCCAGCTGACCCCTCAGTGCCCCCCGTCTGTGTCCCCCCAGCTGACCCCTCAGTGTCCCCACATCTCTGTCCCCCAGCTGACCCCTCAGTGTCCCCACATCTCTGTCCCCCAGCTGACCCCTCAGTGTCCCCACATCTCTGTCCCCCAGCTGACCCCTCAGTGCCCCCGTCTGTGTCCCCCCAGCTGACCCCTCAGTGTCCCCACATCTCTGTCCCCCAGCTGACCCCTCAGTGCCCCCCGTCTGTGTCCCCCCAGCTGACCCCTCAGTGTCCCCACATCTCTGTCCCCCAGCTGACCCGTCAGTGTCCCCCGTCTGTGCCCGCCCAGCTGACCCCTCAGTGTCCCCCGTCTGTGTACCCCCGCTGACCCCTCAGTATTCCCCCATCTGTGTCCCCCCAGCTGACCCCTCAGTGCCCCCGTCTGTGTCCCCCCAGCTGACCCCTCCGTGTCCCCCGTCTGTGTCCCCCAGCTGACCCCTCAGTGTCCCCCGTCTGTGTCCCCCAGCTGACCCCTCAGTGTCCCCCATCTGTGTCCCCCCAGCTGACCCCTCAGTGTCCCCCGTCTGTGTCCCCCCGCTGACCCCTCAGTATTCCCCCATCTGTGTCCCCCCAGCTGACCCCTCAGTGCCCCCGTCTGTGTCCCCCCAGCTGACCCCTCAGTGTCTCCCGTCTGTGTCCCCCCAGCTGACCCCTCAGTGTCCCCCGTCTCTGTCCCCCCAGCTGACCCCTCAGTGTCCCCCGTCTGTGTCCCCCAGCTGACCCCTCAGTGTCCTCCGTCTATGTCCCCCAGCTGACCCCTCAGTGTCCCCCATCTGTGTCCCGCCCCTCGGCCTCCGTGAAGGACGCTCCGTCCCAGCCTCTTCCTCTGTGTCGGGCGTGTCCGTCCCCCCTCCCCCCACCTGCCGGGCCGCCCCTGTCCTGCTGACCCCCTGTCCCCGTGGCCCGTCCAGAGCACGTCCTGCGCCTCCTGAGGGTCAGCCCAGCATCAGTGTCACACGGGCTCCGTCGCCTACTATTTTGCCATCACAGATGAGTCACCTAGAGAGCCTGCGGCGTGGGGGCCGCCACCCCGGGTCCTTGCGGGCCCATCCAGAGCATTGTCCCTGGGCTCAGCAGAGCCATGATCCCGGAACGGCCCTGGCCCCGTGAGTGTGTCGCCCTCCCGGGCTGCGCTCGGCGTGAGAGGCTACGGGCCCGCGTCACGCAGCAGGCGTGGGTCGCTCCGCGGGGTGGATGACACTGGGTCCCGGGGCGCGGGGGAGCTGCTCCCCAGACCTCGGCACCCTGGGCCGCGGGGTCCGCTGGGTGGCCGTGCCCGGTTGGAGCGTCCAGGGTGGCGTGCTCGGCAGGTGCCCGGCAGGGAGGCTGCGGGCCCCTGGGACACGGGGTGGCGGAGTCGCTCCCTGTCTCCACGTCCACGTGGCCGGAGCACCGCCTGTGTGTGCCGCCGCCCAGGGCGCAGGAGTGCGGCTCCCCAGACCCTTGGAGCAGAAGCTCCTGGGCCTCCTCCAGCTCCCCCGCCTGCGGCCACTCCGTGGACTTCCTCGGAGCTGCGGGGGACCACAAACAGTTCTGTCCTCTTAAAAAAAATGACACATGAAAGTGAAAAATGGGTAAATTGGCAGTAGATTTAGGGCCGGTCAAGCTCAGGGTCAGGGGTCAGGGTCTGCTTGGGGCCGACCGGAGGGCCGCTGAGGACAGCCGGTGGGTGGGGGCGTGGGAGCCCACGGTGGGAAGGGCGGGGGCACGGCCGCTGGCGTCCGGGGCCTGGAGGGAGCGGCTGGGGTCGGCCCTACAGGGGCCAGGACCCGTGTCGGGGCTGAGAGGGAGCCATCGGGGGCGCTGGCTTTCACCGGGTGGGGAGGCCGTGCCAGTCAAACTAGCCCATCCCACCTGCCCCCAGACAGACACTCGTTGCCCCGCGTCCCAGGTAACCACACATTTCTCCAGCCTTTACCCCTGAGAATCCTGATTTTCCTGGAAGTCCTCCCGTCAGCCCTTCATTCCTCCTGCGTCATCTCATCCAGTGCCCCCACCCCAGGGGCGCGGCGGGTGCACCCCCACCCCATCCCATCAGGCAGCTCCTCCGCTCTCCAGTCGTGCACCCCCACGCTCCCTCCCCACCCAGACACTTCAAAGCTCCAGGGAAGCAGAGTGAGGGGACACTGGGAACGGGGAGGGCGGGCGGGAGCTCCATTTCGGGTCTGAGCAGCTCCGGCTCTGAGCACGGCCGCGATCCACGGAGCCCGCCAGGCGGCTGCTGGGGTGGGCCGACCGGCATCTCCCCTTCGGGACGCGGGTCCGCGTGGCGGGGACTCCCATCCTCCCTCTGCCTTCCCCTCTGGGCCACCTGGGGAGACGCTCTCCATTTGTCCAAAAGTCCCTCCCTGGCCTAGGACGTGAAACGGGTACGAAAACCCGGCGTTTTCATTTCAACTAACCGGAATTTAAGCGAAAGCTTTTTAAAAATGCCATTTCTGTATTTTCACTGGTGAACGTGAACCGCTCACAGCGATTCTTAGTTGCTCTCCGCGGTCCTGGGGCCTCTCTCCTCACCTGGGTCTGTCCCCTCACTTTGTGCCTAGGAAAGCGGGGCCCCCGTCACCTCCGGACCCCGTTACCTGTGTCCGTTTGTAGACGCGACCCCAGAGTGTCAGAGCTGCCCGGGGCCCGGGGGTGGGCGAGAACCCTGCCCAGCCCTCGGCCCTACGGCGTCGGCCCGTCCCTCCCGTGGCTCTAGACTTATTTTATAGAGTCGCCTAGAAATGCTTCTGTTAACCCCGCGTGGAAACTCCCACCCGATCGAACTCTCATGGGTCGTATCTTTTGGTCTTTTTCTAGAAGGTGCGAAGACGGAAACAAGCGAAGGCACCGCAGAGCCTGAAGCAACGCAGCCGGAAGGAGTGGTGGTCAATGGCAGGGAGGACGAGCCGACCCCAGAGGACATCCTCAGCAAGGGCTTGAGCCAGATGACCACCACGGCCGACACGGATGTCGACACCTCTAAGGACAAAACCGAGTCGGTCACCAGCGGCCCCATGTCCCCGGAGGGCTCACCCTCCAAGTCTCCCTCCAAAAAGAAGAAGAAATTCCGAACCCCGTCCTTCCTGAAAAAGAGCAAAAAGAAGGAGAAGGTGGAGTCCTGATTGGTAGCAGCTTCGGCTCCCATCCGCACCCTCTCCCCTCACCCCTTCCCTTCTCCCATCTCTGTCCCCGGAGGCGCAGGGCCAAGGAGGGGTAGGCGAGGACCCTGGACCACCCTCTGAGGGCGAACTTGGAGATCGCGCGACCAAGCCCTCCGTCTACGGCTGCCCCGGAGAAATCAGGAGACTCCCCCACGGCCGCGCGGCTCGCTGGTGGCGAAGCCTGCACCGGAGCGTGGGTCTGCTGGGCGCCCGCCCGGCCCAGTGCTCTCGCCACCGCCACTGCCTGGCTGTGCGCCGCCCCCGTGGGGACGCCGTGCACCGCGCCGAGCCCCGGGCGGAAGGCCGGAGGGGGCTGCAGGCGCCCACAGCCTCGGACCAGCCCAGGCAGGGCCCGACTCTCCCGAGGAGCCAGGTCCTCCCCGCAGGCATGTGGCCTCCCGCCCACGGAGCTGCCCCAACCAGAGATCTCTCCCCGTGGGGTCCCCGCCCGGCCGCGCACACTCAGCAGACACATTGCCGCCCCCCCCCCCAGCAGAAGTTAATCTTTGTTCCCAAGGGCTGACGGCTTCGCTTGCACTTCCCCAGCCGCTAACCCCAAGCTGTCTTCACGGGCCCCTGGACGGCGGACGACGAAGGACCCGGGGAGCGGCCGGCGGGAGGGCCACCCAAGGCCGCCGCGGGCTCGCGAAGGGTTTGATGGGTGTCAACAGCCGGGAACCGGCCCGTTTGAGTCGCGCATCTCAGGCGCTACAAAACTGAAACCAAATTTAGCTTAGGGTAAACGTGGTCTCACGCTCAGGGCAGAAATCAGGGGGAGTTAGATCCTCTTGTCGGCCTTGGGTTGCGCGAGAGGATCAGCGCGAGATGGGAAGCGCCGCGCCTCCGGGCTTTGCATGACGCGGGAGCAATGCGGCTGCACCTGTTTCGCTCCCGTGCAGTCACGTGTCCCCGGCCCGTCCTCCAGACCGACGGGAACCAGCAGCGAACCCGTGGCCGCTTTGGGGTCCGGCCCTCCCTCGGGGGCCAGCAGAGGAGAATGAGGTGAGCCCTCGGGATCAGTGCTCTCGGGCCAGGGTCAGATGGAGCCTGAGCGCCCTTGCCCGTCACTCTCTGTCCGTCTGGGGCCTCGTGACGGCCGCAGCCGTCGTCGCAGGTGCTGGCGCCGTTGTCACGTCCTCCCGCGGGGCATCGATTAATGAGCGTTGCTGGCTCCTGAGAAGCAGACAATCCACACTCTTCACAGCACAGCGTCTTCAAAGAGTATTTTTCCTCCGTGTCCTGATGATCGTGAAAGCACTTGCGAAAGTTCTCGATCCCCGTGTCCCCCGTGTGAGCCCTCACTTTCCACGTGGAGACCCTGCAGCTTTCCGTGCGTCGCACCCTCGGGCGTCATGCCAACCCCGCCTGACGCGAAGGGGAGCCAAGCCCCAGAAGGACGACCGACTTGCTCCAGGAAGGTCCGGAGCCTTTGTTCTTCAGTCATGATGACTAGACGACGTGCAAATCCCCGAGGGGGGTGGTTTCAGCCCAGGACCTCGCCGCCGCCCGGTCTGCACCGTGGAGTGAAGGCAGGAGCCCCCGTGTGCTCCCCCGTCCGTGCACGCGAAGGTCTTGAGGACCAGGGACCGGGGTGGGGCCAGGCTGCCCTGTGACGAGGGCGCCGCGGGCCGGAGCGCGGGCTGCCCCTGGGGACGGACCGTGACCGTCCTGCCCACCCTCCCTGCCGCCCCCGCCCCCGCCCCGCTCTTCCCTGTGATGGCCACCCAGTGGCCGCGGGCATCGCTGCCTCAAAAAAAAAAAAAAAATCTGTGATGTGGGAAATGCCTTTAAAAGCCGATCCTTTGATGCCTTCTCTGAAAAAATAGATCTCACGTTCATTCTTTGGTCCCCGCCGTGTTTGTCAAGCGCCCCTGGGCGGCGGGCATTGCCTCGCTGTGGCTGGAGCGACCAGACACAGGAGGACGCGGCTGCCCGTGCCGGTGGCTGCAGCTCCGAGGGGACGTCGACGGGCTCTGTGCTCAGCAAATTCTCTTTATTCCCTTCCCAACCGTGAGGCCTCGTGGGGTGCAAATGCCAGAGCCTTGCCAGAGCATCGTCCCTGGACCTCAAGCCACGGGTCCGCCGTATGTGTCCCTGTGCTCCTGCCACGCGGTCCAACAAGCGGCCGCCACGGCAAACCCGAGAGCTGGGTCGTGGGGTAGCAGGCGGCCCCTGCCCACACGGGTGTCCAAGGACAGGAGGCGCCTAGACGCGTTGCCAGGAGGGCAAGGGGCGGGGTCAACAGGGACGTGAGGACTTCCTGTCCTCTGGGCCGGAGGGACTCTCCTGGAGGACGTGACGATGGAGTTAGGTTTGCAGGCAAACAGGGACCCTCCAGGAGGACGGGGGGTCGGTGGGTGTCCGCGCTGAGGGCAGGGTGCACAGAGGCCCCGAGGCACCGGGACGGGCCCTTCCCCGCCCACATGCAGGGTGGCACCTCGGAGGCCAGCGCTGGGTGCTGGGGGGCGTGGTCCACGCGAGAGCACGGGCTCGGGGGGCTGGGGCTTCTCCTCGGGGTCCGGGTGGAGGGGGCTGCGGACCTCGGCCGGTGTCTGCGGGGAGGAGGGGGCTGCATAGAGCTGGGCACGTGGGCTCCCGGGGACGGAGCTCGGGGCCAGCCTGCGGTCACGGGGGGGCGGGGGGCACAGAGCCGTCCCTCCCTGTCACCTGCTCTGCAGCTTGGCCGAGCTCTGCGGGAGGCGGCCCCGTGCTGCCCTGGCCCAAGTCCCCGCCCTCCCACCGGGTCCCACGCAGCCAGCGGCGACCACCCTCCAGGGCCACGGCGCGGTTTCCGCTCAGCTCGTGGCCTGGGGTCCGGGTCGAGCAGCGCCTCGGGCTCCCTGCTCAGAGTCTGCTTGAGAGCCTCCCCCCTCCCTCTGCGCCCCTCGCGCTCGCCCGCCCTCCCGCCCTCCCTCTCTCTAAAATAAATAAATCCTTGAAGAATCAGCCTCCCCCAGCAGTCCAGAGTGAAGATGGGGATCTTCCTCCGCAGACAGAGGTTCTTGCTTTAAGATCTTATTTACCTGACGGAGCGCGAGGGGGCCGCGTGCAGGGAGAGGGAGGGACAGGCAGGACCCCGCTGAGCGGGGAGCCCGATGTGGGGCCCGACCCCGGGACCTGGATCACGAGCTGAGCCGAGGGCAGGCGCCCACCGAGCCCCGGGCACCCCCGGGTCCTTCCTCAGAAGCCTGCAGGGTTAGGGAAGGAGCCGGTGTAGTCAGGGCCGCGCCGGGAACAGCTGAGCAGCCCTCGCCCGGCGTCCGGAGGTGGCGGGGCCATCGGGCAGCCCGCGCCGTCCCCACCGTGCGCCCACCCCCCCCGAGGCCGCTGCGCCGCTGACCCTGGGGCTGAGCGAACCACCCGGCGGCGTGACTGACTCCCGGACGCCGAAGAGATCAACCCCGAGTGTGGGTTGCTGCGTGAGGCTTGCGGGGGTCGCCCGTCGGCCCGCTGTGGCTCCGGGTCGGGGGCGCGCCGTCCTCCACTGCTGAGCACCTGGGAGAGCACGTGGCCCCGCTCGTGTCGCACACGCACCAGCCCGTGAGCCGCCCGCGAGCACCGGGGACGCAGCTGTCGTGCCCCCGAGTCTCAGCAGCCCCGCAGAGGCCGAGCGGCGTCAGGTGGCGGAGACGCTCGCTTTCCACCCCACGGGGGGACGGGCCCCCACGGTTGCTCGCCGTCTGCTCCTAAAGCCACACGTGAGCCCGATACCCGGGGCCCTGAGCGGCCCCTGAAGGAGCGCGCGCGGTCGGCGACTTACCTGTTCCAGCTGTCGCGGGAGGCGAGCGGGACACCGGCTGGCCAACCTCCCCAGGGCGTGCGGGCCCCGTGTTGGCTGTGAGCACCGTCCCGCGGGCTGTGTGGACACGGGGGGGGGGGGTGTCCCCTGCTGGAGAGCCCTGGTCGCTCCGCCCCGCCGAGGATTGCCTTGGGGTGCGGGAGTCATGGCTCGTACCGGCCTGCACGGGGGTTTCGCCAAGTCGGCGTTCGGCGCCGGAGGACGTCCCCGAGGCCGGGCCGGCGCTGAGGGAACGGGGCCTGCGTGTGGGGCAGACGGGGCCGTCGTGAGCGGGCCGGGCTGGCTCCGCACTGTCCTCGCCCGGCGGCCCCCAGGGGGCAGGAGGAGTGTGGGGGCTGGGGCGGCGGGAGAAGAGCTCAGAGGGTCCCCGCGGCGCTCCCGCCCGCCATCGTCCCCCGCGGCCCCCAGACCTCGTTCTGAGGGAGTCGGCCGGGCGGCAGCACTTGCACCCAGGACGCAGGGGTCCGTCCGCGAACGTCAGAGCTCTCACAGCCGGGACCGCGTTGGGGGATCCCTTGCAGCCATGCCCGGGGGCCGACGTCGGGGTGGCGGCTTGACCTCTAAGGCCCGGGACTCCTCGAGTCCCTGGTGTCCGTGCCGCAGCCGCTGGGGCCCCCACCGCGCTCCTGTCCCCCGAGGGCACGTGTGCAGGGGGCGCGAGGCCGGGACCGGCTGGTGGGGGGCGGTGACATGTGTCTCCTGGGTGCCCCGTCCGTGCGGTCCCCGGGGTGCCATCCCCGGGCCTCGCTGTCCCCTCAGAGGGGAGCTTCCCGAGCCGCTGATGCGCAGACTGACCGTCAGCTTCCTGGGCTTTTATCTTGGGACTTTACGCACACACGCGCGCACACACACGCGCACACACATCTATTATATGTATTTACGGGGTGGTTTTGTGCAGTTTTCTGTTTGAATCTCTGAGCACCAAAGCTGCCCTTGGATTTTCAGGAGAACTTTCCGAAGCCGCGTGCCCCCCCCCCCCGTGTCTGTGGGGCGGGTGGACCTCTGTCCCTGCTGTTGTCTCACCTGCGGACTCACCCTGGTAAACGCTCCCAGTGTGCGACCATGGCCCGGCCCCTGACCTCCCTGCCCCCAGGGCGGCTCGTGTAGAGACTTCCAGCCACACGGGGACGTCCTGCCTTTGAGACCAGCCCTTGCACGGGGGGAGGAGCTGAGCGTGTGCCTGAGCTCTGGCAGGGCCGGGAGGTGGCGAGCACGGGGACCCCGGGAGGTGACGGGCGCGGGGACCCCGGGAGGCGACAGCCACATGCACCTGCACACAGCTCGTCAAGGAAGATCAGCCTGGACGCACGGGGCGGGGAGGGGCCACGAGAACACACAAGGGTGGTGCCCACGGGGCAGCAGGGGCAGAGGCCACGGGGTGAAGGGGCAGGGGCGCTGGGGGGGCGAGAGGATGAAGGAGCCCCCCATCCTGAGCTTCACGAGGGGACGGCCCAGGAGCTGCTGAGTGCCTGCCCGCATGTGTCGGGCCTCGTGTCCCCTCCGCGGCACCTCGGGTAAACCCCATGGACCCCCTTGGTGCTCCCGTCACCACCCACACAGAGGAGGAAGCCGGCTCTAGGTCAGCGGGGGAGCCCTGCCTCACGGGGGACCCCACCCCCATCACCCCGTCCGGCCCGGCCCACAGCCCCCTCGCTCCACTCCGCGTGGGGCACACAAAGGCAGCAGCTGAGGGCCGTGCGCCCTCTAGAAATGCCGGGGCCGCTTGGCGCAGAGACCAGGCCAGGGCCCCGCAGCGCCCCGCGGGGAAGGGGGGCAGCCAGGCCAGAAGCAGGGGCGTGGCAGCGGGTGCAGCTTCCCCCGGAGAGCACTGAGCGCAGCGAGGGGCCGGGCCCTCCGGGGAGTGGGTGCAGGGCCTGGGCTGACTGGCAGGCCACGGTGCCAGGGTGCTGTTGGCAGCCCTGTTTGCAAGGTGCACGGGGGGGGATGCCTCGGCACCAGGAGCCAGGCAGGCGTCGGGGGGGGGACCCCGGGATCAGCCAGGCGTTGGGGGGGGACCCCGGGGTCGGACAGGCGTTGGGGGGGGGACCCTGGAGCCCGCCCGTCCTGCCGCCCTGACGCGAGCTGCAGCAGGGGACTCGGCCCAGCGCGGCGGCTGCCCCCACGGCCTCGTGCCCGCCCTCTAACCTGACGCCGCGTGACCAGCAGACACAGGACTCTTCCCTTCCCTGTCCCCTTGGGCCTCTGCACGTGGACCCACACCCGTCCGGCAGGTGCCACGCTTAGGCTGACGCGAGCGCCCGCTGCCAGCAAATAACACGGTAGAGACTCCGCGGTTCCAAAGCAGGAGACGAGCCTGACAAGTTGGGGGACCGGCTCCCCCGTGGAGCAGAGTCACTGCCGGGAGCGGGAGGGAGGTGAGAACCTCCGTTAACATCCGTTTACCGGCACCAGCCGCTTGTGAAAAGGGGGTACTTCAAATAGAGAAATAAAATGGCTTTTTGGTGATGGAAAACATCATATTTTATTTTTATTTTTTTATTTCTTTTTATTGGAGTTCAATTTGCCGACATACAGCATAACACCCAGTGCTCATCCCATCAAGTGGAAAACATCCTATTTTATTATTATTATTTTTTTTTTGGAAAATGTCCTATTTTAAAACGAGGCACCGACTGTCAACCGCAGGCTCGATGCCGTTGAGAGGAGGGGAGCACGCGAGGCACGTTTACTCACGTGCGGATCCCGAGCCCGCCACGGCGAAAAAATTAGCAGGTCACGCCTCCGGTTGGTTGGAAAATCAATACAAGTAAGAAACTCGAGAAAGGAGGAAACACGGAATTAAAACATGGCAGTAAAAAAAAATTAATTGATTAATTAATTAAAAAATAAAAAAAATACAACATGGTAGTGAGCCGTTAAAGAAGTCTGCAGCCACGTCTAGTTTTTCACGATCAATTTAAGAAACCCGAAGCTTAAGAAAGCAGTTCCATAAATAAATAAATAAAAATATAATAAAAAAAAATAAAAGCAGGCCCCGGCACAGGCACGTGTGGGGGCGGGAGAGACGGAGACTGCGAG